TCTTAATCAGGATATTAATAAGGAACTAGCAGTTTATGAAGCTTTTGGAATAATCCACCAATTTTTTAAAATTAAACACTATCTAAAGATTTGCATCGAAGCGTTTTTTTTTTATAGTGATTTTAATCACTGTCAGATATCATTATACTTCATCCAACTATGCCACGTCACCACTGTGCCGCGACCCCCCTGTGCTGGGTTTTTTTACTTAAAATTGCCATAACTTTTTTAAAAATAACCAAATTAATATCATTTTTTTTTTTATATAGATGCTTGATGTCTACCTATCATTTGGTATATTTTTTTTATAAATCTGACTTTTTACCTGCCCACAGGGGAGGATTTAAAATGACAACTTTTTCACAAAATATTAACTTTTGAAAATGTTCCGGAAAGTCAGACACTTTTATATATATATCTTAAATAAAGCTAATGTAATATACTTTATCATGGAAAAAAAAAATTTCAGACTATATTTTATCTTCACGGTGAAAATGGCTACCGAATACTATTATTGTGTGAAAATTCTCGATTTTATTTTTTACATTTTTAACATTATAATGCTATAACTAATTAAAAAATGTATGGATCAACATAATTTTTTTATGAGAAATAATAATTTTTAATAATCCCTTTTTCATTCGACATACTTTATCTGAATCAGGATATTAATAACGAACTAGCAGATCATGTTGCTTTTGGTATAATCCACCAATTTTTTAAAATTAAACACTTCCTAAAGATTTGCATCGAAGCGTTTTTTTTTATAGTGATTTTAATCACTGTCAGATATCATAATACTTGATTAACTATGCCACGTCACCACTGGTCTGCGACCCCCAGTGCTGGGTTTTTTTTCGATACAAATAATTCATTGAATAGACGTTTAATTACTNTGTATATATTTTTTTAATTTTTAAATATAATTTAAAAATATTGATAATGTATAATTTTTTCTAAAAATTGTATTGTTACTGTTTAAAATAATAATATTGTAATTTTAAAGGAAGTTTGTTAATGATTAAATAAATTAAGAAATAATTAATATTATTATACAATATTTTTTTTAAATAATAATTTAATTCTATACATTTCATATAATAATTAGTTTTGAGTAATAATATTTTAAAATGTATCGTTTGTATTTAGATCATTTGTTTTGCTGGTGAGGCAACACATAGTCATTACTTCTCAACCGTACATGGTGCTATTGAAACTGGTTGGCGAGAAGCTGATAGAATTTTAATTCATTTAAAAAATACTGGAATATAATATAGCATTTTTTTTTCCATTAACCCTTATTATTATTGTAAATAAAATTTATAAAACAGTTAAAAATAAAAATAAATATTTTATGTATTTTCTTTTAGCTTCGATATAAAGCTGAGAAGGTATTGATTTTACTATGATGTGTATTTTTTTGTGACAGTAATCACTTTTTCTCACCGAACGAATTTTAACGGCACATCAAAAAATCACAAATCAAGTCGAAGAAATTACCTTCAAAATTGAATTAATTTCCCTCGTTCCCAACAAATGGGGAAAACCTCCGAAAAAATTAAAACTTAAAAATTGCCATCTAAAAATAATGAAAACTACATACACCTCTATAGGAAAATTATTGATTCAAAATTATTGAAAAATCATGAGCTTTTGACATTCAAAAGCCAGAGAACCCTTGTACACTCATTTGAATGTAAAAATATATATATATATAAAATATATAACGAACTAAAATGTTTATATTGGATACACCCAACCTAACAACAGTCATAGGTCAAGTGGGACAAATGTTAATGAATGGGTTAATAATAAATTCATTATTCTTCTTAGAGTGTATAGTACTTATTACTTCAGATAGGACAATACCAATCGTCAAGTATATAAAATATTTAAATGTTTAAATCCAAGTAGAAAATTAAAGGTTATGCATTTCGTTCAAAAATGCATTTATATTTAACCCACTTGGCCATAATATAATAAAAAACAAAAAAATGATAAAAATTATTAATATGTTTTAAGGAATAAAGAATAAAATATCTTTTTTTGAAAAAAAAGCTGCATTAATAAAGACTTCTAATGATGTAATAATCAAAAATACATTGGGTAAGACCAATGAACTAGATAAAGATAAAGAACACGTAAAATATGAAATAAATATAAAATATAAAAATACAGATAATTATGGCAAGATAACTGATAGCTTAGAATTAAACTTACAGAAAGAACAAGAACTTGATCAAGTCCAACATAATGCTAACGAACAGAACGAAACTAATGTAGATGGTAGGATTACCAATAACCCACGAGAAAGAAGCGATATATTTAAATTTGAAAGTAATAATAAACAGCACATAGAGGAAGGAGACTGTGTAAACGAGCTAGACACGACGACAGATGAGAAAAAAATTGATGATTGCGATGAGATAACTGATAGCTTAGAATTAAGTTTACACGAAGAAAAAAAACTTGATAAAATCCAACTTAACACTAAAGATCAAAATGTATTACCCATTATTCAGATGCCTAAATCATCAAAAACGCCAAAATGTCAAAAAAATAAAAAAGAAAAAAAAGAAAAGGAAAGGAAAGAAATCCCAGCGATGAATGTGAAAAATAAAAAGATTGTTCGTAACCTAAATTATTTTTATTCTACTCTTAACGATGAAGATTAATATTCATAAGAGCCGAAGTTAACTTAAAAAATTTACTTAAATAAATTAACCTATAATTAATCTATAATAATCTAGTAATAATCATTTGTATTAATTAATAATATTAATTTGACTAAATAAATGTACTTGAAACTGTATTTAATGTATTTTTATTAACCGGTCACATTGTCAATTAGATAATTTTAGAGATCATTATAGAAATCGAGTGGCTAGCGTTGTGCAACACTATTGTTTTACCTAACCTATTACAACTCATAGGTGCAATCTGGTGGGTTGTGGTTTTTCAAATTCTGCCATTGCCATCTAAAAATAATGAATATTACATTTATTTTTATATGGGATTTTTTTTTTAAGATTAGGCAAAATTAAATTAGACCTATCAAATATTTTGCTCAAATTGTGCCTATGTTACAGCTACTCATTTGTATCAAATTGCCAAAATGGAAAATTTTACATAATACTCTATTTCATCAGCGTTTTTTTTTATTTTATTTATACCTTATGAGGTTTTCAAGTTCATTTTTTTTTTAAACAACTTACATATCTAACTAGCTTATAAAATAAAAAAATGTACAAATTTAAAAATCGCTAATTTTCGAATTTTTTTTTACTTAAAAGTGCCATAACTTTTTCAAAAATGAACATATCAATATAAATCTTTTTTATATAGATGCATAATATCATTACCTATCATTTGGTATATTTTTTTTTATAAATTTAAACCTTTACCTGCCCACAGGGAGGCATTTAAAATGACAACTTTTTCACAAAAAATTAAATTTGAAAGTGTTCCGGAAAGTCTGACATTTTTATATATATCTTAAAATAAAGTTAATGTAATGTACTTTATTATGAAAAAAAAAACAATTCGGACTTTATTTGGTCTTCATGGTGAAAATGGCTACCGAATGCCATTTTTGTGTGAAAATTCTCGATTTTATATTTTACTTTAAAATGCTATAACTTTTTCAAAATTGTATGGATCAATACAATTTTTTCATGAGAAGTAGTATTTATATACAATTTTCATTCGATATACTTATTTTTTTAATCGAACCATTTCTCTATAAACGGACAAATCTGAAAATGTATACAGAATGTTGAACTTTTTCGACTTAACTTTTGATATTATTCCGGAAAGTCTAAAACTTTTATATATATTTGTTTTAATATAATAACAGATAGGAACAAATAAATTCTTATTTTTGTTACAACTTACATTCATAACGAAATAATGACTTACAATTAAATGATTCCTTTGATAAAATTACAATAATATTTAATTAATATACTGGCTTAATATATTTCATAAACAATATACAAACAACTATTTTGCTACTATGGATAAACACAAATATTCATATACATTAGAGATCAATATCTGAAAATTACCTGCAGACCTTAATTTTTATAATTAATTTTTGTGTCTTACATTTTTGAATAATCATAATTAATTTTGTATAGAATTTCTTATTTATAGTTTAATTGTAATTAGTATTACATTTTCATGCTTAATAGTTATAAGTGTATTAAATACAATGTCAAGTGTACACTCCGGTAAAGTTACTAACATAGTGTTCAAATTTGAAGAGCTAATAAAAATTTCTGAAAAAAACAATACATGCAAACCAATTAGTCAACAAAAAAGATTGATAGAACGTACTTTTCGACCAAATCAAATAATTAGCCCAACAGATAAGTCCGCGGACGAAACAACTTTTACTAACGCAAATCCAGAAAACAAGGAAGTCAAAAAAAAGAAGTTTAAGGGTGAGTCAAGGGTACATTTAGATAAATTGACCTTTACAAAATCATTTAAACAATACGTTTTATAATTNTCACAAAATCATTTAAAGAATACGTTTTATAATTTTCCTATGAAAAACAATGATTTGTCAAATATTTCAATACAACGTTTGTTCTCCCTAACTCTGAGTTTAATCAAATAGGAGTTCAGCTTTACAAAATTTAATTGTGCTGAATTTTGTGGAGTTTAAAAATTGCGGAGAAAAAGGGATAAAGATGTCATACGAATATGACACCATAACAAATATAATTCCATATTACAACAAAATTATTTTTCCTTAGGAAGAGACACTGATTATTTTTTTTATGTAAATAATTTGATTTATGGGTAGTATACAATATAAATAATGCACAGTGTATTTAGTAAGTGAGAAAACAAGTTTCTATTGTTTAAATAATTGACCTGTTTCCTTACCTACTGAACATTCTGTATAGTATATCTTCCAGAACAAAACTCTAGTTACACCTCTATAGGAAAATTATTAAAAAATCATGAGCTTTTGACATTCAAAAGCCAGAGAACCCTTGTACACTCATTTGAATGTAAAAATATCTAACGAACTAAAATGTTTATATTGGATACACCCAACCTAACAACAGTCATAGGTCAAGTGGGACAAATGTTAATGAATGGGTTAATAATAAATTCATTATTCTTCTTAGAGTGTATAAAAAATCTAACTTGTCTTATTATATTATAAAGTAGTAATGATTAAAAAAAAATCATCGAAATATAAAAATTAGGCTTGTGCAACATGGTCCATGCACGATATGACTACCTAATGATTAGGCATATTGTCTGGAATTTAATAAAGACAAAAAAATTATATTGTTTGGAATATTAAATCTAAATGGATTAATTTTTACCTGCTTATGTAAAGCAATTTAAAAAATAGTAACTACATTAACCACTATTATAGTTTTGGCAACAAAATTATTATTTTGTTAATTTTTAATAATTTAATTTATTTTTATTTTTTGTTTCAAAAATATATTGATAGAATTAATATTTAAGTCATGTTTTGGGAGATAATACAGATATAACATAAGTATATATCCAAATATTTATAAACATTTAATAACACTAAACATACTAGTCTTACATTAAATCAACACATAATAGTCTTATCACAAATTGAAAAAGTGTTTATAAGAAATAAATTTTTTTATATTTTCATTTAATTTTGTTTCTTAGATTTTTTTTTTGTAAAGTGGCGCTACTATTATTACGATTTATTCCATGACATCATAACACGGACCTGGAACAGCTATGTTGTTTGTCTTTATTTAACCTAAAATATATTCCATTAACAGTATTACATAGCTATCCCTCCTTCACGTTTGTTATAATAAAAATTATTATACAAATAATTGTCAGCACATGTGTATCGCTTGTCAGTAAATTTCTTTGATTCAAATTTTGAATTATTTTACTTTGTACAATATTCCTGGGACTTGAATATAATCATTAAATTTTTCATAAATTTTTTCGTATTATTTATAACTATAAGGTAAGTTCAAAAACTGATTATAATGGTGATTTTTGTTTTAATATGAAATTTGAACGATAATTTTTAATTTTACCTATATATTTATTGAGATCACATGTAGATATTCAATTTATTCAAGTTAACTCAATAGTAATGTCATCTCATTCATATTATTAGTCACATGGAGTATTTGATTTATTGATTCATAAACTCCGGTATAAAATTTAAATAGGAATTTTGTTAGGACTTTTATACCCTTTAAAAATGTATAATTTCCTCTAGTAAATAATTACACCAAAATTGTTTTTTTCATTATACATTTTTTTGTGCTAATCTGTTCAATTATAAGCTACAACTCTTTTTTTTCTTTTCGAACTATTGGTTAGATATATATAGATGTTTAGTAAGTAAGGAAACAGATTTATATTGCTCTCATTATTTATAACAATTAATCTTTTCCTTACTTACTGAACACTATTTTTCAAAATAATTTTGAGGAGAATTGGTTATCCTGTTATGAATATTTTTACATAAAAAATTATTTCCATCTAAAATGCTTAAATAAAACGGAATCATTTGAAACTTGGCCCTTTCAAAAAGTGCTCCTTGAAAAATGACCTATTAAAATAGTGTTATCTACATTGTGACCAAGTTTACTCTATCTTTAGTTCATAAATTTCAATCCCAATTTGGCCCTTTTTTACAGTTTTTGTTAATTTAAGCTAGAAAAATACATTATTTTCATAAGACATTTAAAAAATTTAAGTGTATGACTGCTTGCCCAACTATTCTCTAATTATGCATATGCATGTTAGACTAGTTATTTTGAAAAAATAACAATTTTCAAATTTTTTCAATATTTTTAAAACAGAATTTAAATAATAAACAAAATTCCTTATCATTAATTTTATACTTAACCAATAAACTATCATATTATTTAAAAGTGAATTTTTCTTAAGTTTGAATACATAAATACAATTAAAATTTAAGATCCAGAAAAAAGTATCTCTCCAAGACAATATAAAATTAAACAATTAAAAAAAAAAAGTTATTTGTAATCTATTTAATATTATAATGAACTGAACCATAAAATATTAATATTAATATTGTCAATATATGAATCTATCATTTGTTCTGCTTAACATACCCATATAACCATGTGTAATTTTATAAAAATTGTACTTAAATTTGATTTTCTAATAATTAAAATACTATTTATTTTTACAGTTTTATACTCAATTAAACTCAAACAAAATGAAATTGAAAACTCAAAATACAACTGAAAATAAACAAAAAAATAATAAGAAAAAGTAAGATGAATTAATTTTAAGTATTTATAGACAGTTATTAAAGAGGATTTGATATTACTCTAAACTAATATTATATTAAAATTAATATTATTTGAAATACATTTTACCATAGTTAAAAATGTAAAACTAATAATAATTATTTTATGCCAAATATTATTGAGGGACTGAAGTAGGTTAATAAATGGTATAATAGATTCCTTCATGATATTTTCATTTTAATTTTTGATATTTTTAAAATTGTTAATAATTATTTAGTAGCTAGTTATATCTGTACTTGCTATTTAAAAAATTTAATTAAGACCCTATAAAAGTAAAAAAAATGAATTTAAAAAATACCAAAATAGATTTTCTTTATATGATTATTATGTTAAGAAATATTGAATGGCTAATATTAAAAGAATCGCCCGTATAAAAATTTATTTTTTAATTTTTATGTCAATTATAATTGAGATTTTGGTATTATTGAATAAAATGTATTATTCTCTTTCTAAATATGCCAGCTATTTCTTTTGAAAATTGATTTGACTTAAATTGTCAATTTAAAACCCGTGAAAATATAACTAAATACAATTTATTAGTACCAACACGATCACAACAATTTAAAATGTTTCTCTTGGAACAATAATAGGATCATAAATGAATAAAGTCTTTATATTATCTTTTTGGAACAATATAATACTATCATTTTTTAAAAATAATATATGATGATAAACAAATATTTTTAAAGTGTTTTCAATAATGGATAAAGAAAGGCTCCAGGTTTAAAATTTTATTAGACTTAATTCAGCTGCAAATCCCACTGACAAAAGTATCCCTACCTTTAATAGAAAAATAGTTTTTTATGATTAGAAGACCCATGGAAAATTCTCTTACCAAAAAAAAAATTGGTTTTATCTGTTACACTCCTTCAAAAATCTGAATGTTTTTTTAAGTATCAAGGTTAGCATTTGTTTAAGTTTCAACATATTGTTTCGGAATGGAAACTAAATATTTTTTTATATTCCATTTTTTTAAAAACAGAATATATTATAGAATTTTTAAAGAATTAATTTTTATTGTATTTCAATAATTAATATATTCCATCATATTGTTCTGGAACTGAATTAAATAAGATTTTGTTTGTTCCATTCCATCTAGAAATGTAACAATAAAAAATATTTTGGAACACTAAAATTGGTATCATTTACAATCCCTAAATTATACTTGTTTTAGCTTCGATGCGAAGCTTAGAAGGTATTGGTTTTACTATGATGTGTTTATTTTTGTGTCTGTTACCACTTTTTCTCAGCTCTCATCAAACGGATTTCTTTCAACGATAAGTCAAAAGATCACAAATCGTATCTAGTCGAAGACATTACCCTTAAAAATTGAAAAAAATTCCCCCGTTCCCCGTAAGTGGGGGAAACCTCCAAAAAAATTACAAATTTAAAAATCGTTAATTTTCGAAATTTTTTTTACTAAAATGTTCCGTCACTTTTTCAAAAATGAACATATCAATATAATTTTTTTTTTTATGGATGCTTGATGTCTTTATCTATCATTTGATATATTTTTTTTGTAAATTTGACCCTTTATCTGCCCACAGGGGGGGATTTCAAATGACAACTTTTTCACAAAAAATTAACTTTTGAAAATGTTCCGGAAGGTCTGACACTTTTATATATATCTTAAATTAAAGCTAATGTAATATACTTTAATTTGAAAAAAAAAAATTGACCTCTGGACTTGTCTTCGTGGTGAAAGTTGACATCAAAGTTAATAAAAAATTACGATTTTTGTAAAATAATTTTTTTTTATATTTTTAACTTAATAATGCTCTAACTTTTTCAAAAATGAACATATAAATATAATTTTTTTTTTTTATAGATGCTTGATGTCTTTATCCATCATTTGATATATTTTTTTTGTAAATCTGACCCTTTATCTGCCCACAGGGGGGGATTTAAAATGACAACTTTTTCACAAAAAATTAACTTTTTCAAATGTTCCGGAAGATCTGACATTTTTATATATATCTTAAATTAAAGCTAATGTAATATACTTTAATTTAATAAAAAAAAAAAATTAACCTTTGGACTTGTCTTCACGGCGAAAATGGCTATTGAATGCTATTTTCGTGTGAAAATTCTCGATTTTTTATATTATATTTAACTTTATAATGCTATGACATATTGAAAAGTGTATGGATCAACATTATTTTTTTATGAGAAATAATATTTTTTAATAATCCCTTTTTCATTCGACATACTTTATCTTNATTTTTTTATGAGAAATAATATTTTTTAATAAACCCTTTTTCATTTGACATACTTTATCTTAATCGAGATATTAATAAGGAACCAGCAGATCAAGTAGCTTTTGGAATAAAACACCAATTTTTTTAAAATTAAACACTATCTAAAGATTTGCATTAAAGCGTTTATTTTTGATAGTGATTTTAATCACTGTCAGATATCATTATACTTGATCCAACTATACCACGGCACCACTGTACCGCGACCCCCCTGTGCTGGGTTTTTTTTTTAAATTTGCTGTATATATGTTTCAAAGCATTCCTATAGTGTTGTGTAAAACAAAAAATGAATAAGAACTTTGTATAAGGAAACTACGTATAAATATATAATAACTAGGGTCCAGAATTATATGAATTTATAAATTTTATTAAGTTATTCTGAACACAGCATTAGCTAGAAGAAATTTTTATTTATTGACTTGAAAACTTTGTAATGTGTGGTTACCGAGTTTATTATAGTTTTAGGGGATTTATTCCATCCTAAAACGAAAAATATTTCTACACTGTTATATTATACGACAAATAAACAATCTTGGAACTCTTTAAAGTGTTTAACAAAATTTATAAATTCATATTATTCCAGACTAATAATAAGACAAAGAACCATTGTAGACCATTTTTTAAATTTCAAAGTATATCACCTTTAAATTAAAAAAAATATATATCACATTATATATTAAAATAAAAATTTCATTAAACGTTCAAAACAATTAATATAATTTAATATTAAACTGTAGCATAAATTAAAAAAAAAAACAATTCCATTTTTACAAATATGAGGCTCTGACTAGAGTCCCCTTTATTTAAATTTGTTAGTATTCTATTGTCACATCATATATCACTTAAAATTAAAGACTAAAACAATTTTTATGTATATTAAATAAAACTTGTATTGTTGTATAAGTAAAAAGATTCTGTAGCAATGTTTGAAAATTATAAATAGTAATTCTATGCTTCTGTTCAGTTGTAAAACTTTAAATTAATCTATAGTGTAACTTAAATTTCAGTGATAAATCACCTAAAACTCAAAATAAAGGTGCTGCTAAAGAAAAAGTAAAACCTATAAAACCGGCAGTATTGAAAAAAGAAGGTGAAAAAGTGAAAGCTGAACAAAAATCTATAAGTCCTATTAAAGTTTTACAAAATGAGCTTTGGACTAAAGCTATCAAAGTTGTAGCTGATAAATCTGATTTACCTGATAAAGAAAGTGGTATTGCTAAATTGTTAGCAAACTATAAAAAACAAGACTCAATCCCGAGAAAAGAAACTAAACTTAAGGTAAAATATTAATTCATAATTACTTAAGGTAATACCACCAGTCATTTGCAATTTTTAAAATAAAATTTATTAAATTTCTAAAAAAATAAGCTATAGTTTTCTTAAAAAATTGTAGAGTTTATTCATAAACGAAAAAGTTATTTAAAACATAAGTAGTTTATTTATGATGTATAAAAAACAATTGAATCATTACAGAAGAAACCCAAACAGTTTAAAAAAATAAAATAAAATTCTTGAAATAAATGGTAAAAAAAAAAATTTAATTTCAATAACTACAAATTATAATTTTTGTTAATTTAAAAAAATAAATATTAATCGATAATTCCATTTCTTTTAAATAAATAAAACTACATGAAGAATCCAAATCTACTATAATTTTGATACAATTTTTTTTGGAATATTTAAGTTTCTGATACAACTAATTTAATTGCCAGATGATAATGTACCATTAACTAATGCCATTACCTAATTTAAAAATGTATACATATTTTAAATTTACTTTTAATCCAACTATATCTATTAAAAAGTTTTGTTGTTTTTCAGAATTTTATTTTGAAAGGATTTTCTCAATATAAGGATACAGAGAGTGAAATATTGGATAGTTTGTATAATAAAATAAAGGAAGCTTTTGAAAGTTTGGGTGGTCAACCTAAAGATGGTAATTCTGAAACTAAAAATTCCAATAATAAAGTAGAAAAGAATTCGCCTAAAACAAAAAACCTCAAAAAAGTTGAAGTTGAGAATAGTGATGATGATGATGAGGACGATGATAATGACAAAGAAGATGATATTGATGAAGATGATATTGAAGATGTAACATTTGCTGATAGTGATGAAGATGTTGAAGGTGATAGTGAAGAAGAAGTAAAAGAAACTAAGCCAGCTGGAAAAAATAAAGCTAATAAAAAACAAGTTAAAAATGGGAATAATAAAGCAAACAACAAGAAAAATAATCAAAAGTTTAAAGGTGGAAAGGTTCAAAAAAATAAAGGAAAATTGAATAAAAAGAAATGAATGTTATTTTTGCATTTTAATTAATTGACTTAATTGATTCTTTTAATTGTTATAATATAATAGTTTATAACTTTACAACTTATTTTATGTGTAATATGAAGTATAAGATCCTCATTATATACTCACAAATGAATTTTTTATTTTATCTATTTATATTTTATTTGTAGTTAGTAACATTATCTAGTACCATAATTTATTCTGCATAAAAGTAACTAAAAATGCAATAATTTTATGCAAAGCTTTAAAAAAATATCAAAATAATTGGAGTAATCAATATATTTTTAAATATTTTTCATAATTTCAAACACAATAAATAACCGTATTTCTTAATATTATTTAAAATATATGTGGAAGTCTATTTACTAAGGCTTTCATTGTATTTATATAAATCGATAATTTTTATAACTAAAAAATTTAAATTATTTTTATTCACTCATTTTCAATTCTTTTGTATTTAAGTTAATAATGTAAAATATCTAAACATTTTATCCACTATTAATAATCAATAATTAACATAAATATGAAAAAAAAATTCTGGAACTTATTTTTAACAATACTTGATTTCAAAACTTCTCAACTTATTCTAATTTTATTTATTTCAATAATTAAATGCGTACTAGGCTTCGCTTGCTGGGACTCCGCCTCATATTTTGGGCCCTACGAGCCTCGCATGACTTCGGCGCGTAAGCCTCTTTGGGCCTTCTTCGTAAATAGGCCACTGATTCCTGTAGGAGTACCCGCCTACGCCGAGCACGATAAGTGTTTTGCAGGAATAATATTACATCAGACTCGATGTAACATATATTAAATTATTAAAATCGGGAAATTTCACAAAGAGAATATAGTAAAATGTATTGGGTATAAGATTGACGTTTGTTAATATGATATTCCCCTTCGGCGTATTCGGAAATTATTTTAGGAGGGTATTTAATTTTTTTTACTATATTAAACATGCTATAATTTTTTTTTTTTTTTGCTAAAAATCGAAGTGATCAAAAAAAAGTTCATTAGTTTTTTATTTCATAATAGTTGTCAAAAAAACATTGATGGCACTGGTTCAAGGATGGCAATCACCCATATCCCCTCCCTTTACTGCGCCCTAGTATACACCATAATAATTAATATTATAATTATACTTATATTATAGAATATTTACAAACAAATTCGGCAGGTTATATTACCTGGGACTAAGTAAAAAATTTAATTTTGATTAAAATATTGGTTACTAAAATTTGACAGCATAGTTGTCATAGATGTATCCCAATTTTTACGATAAACTCGTAGACTTATACATCATATATGAGATAAATAAGATTCTTAATTCTGTACTATTCTGATAATGAATGTACAAACTTATATATTTATAACCGTCCTGAAATTTATATAAAACATAATATTCCTTGATAAAAAATTTAAAATATATTGCTATGCGCAAATGCAAAATATAAACTGTGCGAGGATAAAAAAAAGTTCAAAACGAAAAAAAATATAATTGAATGGGTCAAGTAATCTAACTATTGAAAAGCCATAAGAACTATATTTATTATCTTTTTATTTATTTAATTTCTTAAAGATTTTGTATTATATTTGTACATTTTCTTTAAATATAATAAGAAATAGAAATTATTTTCTATGTGTTCTTATATAAAATTTGATTAAGCACATTTATTAAATCTTTTATAAAATTTTTATTTGTATAATTTTAATTTGGAGGGAAATTGTCTTTGTATTTTAATAAATTGCAAATTTTAATATATATATATATGTATGTTGTCAATAAATGTGTAATTTTTATTGAATAATTAGTTTTTTTTAACCTTGTAAATTTACCTTTAAACATATCTGTTCTTGTTAAATTTCTACTATTTCGACATACAGAATAATGTTGCTTGTAGTTTAGAGTGTTTTTTTATTAGCTTTTATTTTGAAAATATTATAGCTCGACAATATCGTAAGAATTAGATACTATAGTATTAATTACAGGAATAATGGGTGTTAGTTAGAATAATTAAAGTAAAGTATATGCAGTAAATTATAATATATAATAAAACAGTTAAATAGTACAATCAGCGCTCAATATAAAAGAAATGATCGCAATAATCACAAGAATAGAATGGGAATTTAGTACAAAAGAGGGAACAAAATTGGAAATTCCATTGGATTCTAAAAATGTTATATGCTGACACCTATCAGGCGCCTAAAAGAAGCAATTCAATAAATAGTGAGAAAAATCTCCGAGTACTTCATCCTCATGTAAATAGCAAATGGGAACAGAGTTCAGGTTTAATTTAGTTTAAAGTGTTAAAAATAATAATTATTACTACTGGAAATATCTTATTGTAGACAGTCTATAAAAAAGATTATTATATAAAAGTGGTATTTTTTCAGAAATAAATAGTAAATAGTTCATTTATTTATAAAAATAACATTGTAAAAATTATCTTAAAATAAAATCTATTTGATTTTAAAATTTTATCATTTTATAAGAATTATAATTCATATTGATTCTTATGGTAATAATACATTTTAAAAGAAGCCCTAATGAATTCTTTAAAGTGCAATTACTTCTTTTGTGCACTTTCTTTTTAACATAAAATATTCGTAATAATTAAATTATGTAAAATATTGATTTAAAAAAACCCCAACACAGTGGGGTTGCGGCACAGTGGAGATTGGGTCAAAAACTTTGGCTGTCAAAAACAAATACCCAAAACTTTTATTAACGAAATATTCAAGTGTTTAAGTTATTTTTCCAACTAACAAATAAGAACTATCGAGAGAAACATTAGGTCATGGTTTCTAAAGGCCGAGTATTATAATGAAATAAAGGAAATTCAAATTTATGTGTACAAAGAGTTTATCAAAGGTACAATTTAAAACCGATTCGTGAAGACCAAACTCTTATATCAAAAAACGTATCCAAAAAATATAATAAGAAGAAATTTGACGTCCTGTACACAGAAAAGATGAACCGTCGTGACTTGAGCCTTCGAGAAGAAGCTGAAATATTGTACAAGGCATGACAAAATTTTGCAATTTAGAAAATAATATGTGGAATAAAAAATTATCTGTACAATGTAAAAAATATAACATCGATATGTCACAGGTAAAATTGTGTAAAGGAAAGCCAGTAACGAAAGTACGCGGATCAAAATTTTGCGATGGGTCGTTACTTGAATGTAGAAATAAGATAATAGATACATTTCCTTACGTTTGAAGAAATGGCGATAAAAAAACTCGATCCTCGTATTTCAAATCTCAGCTGAAAAACTATATATCAGATATAACAGTTTGTGATTTGACAGATGTTTATTTGGAAAATCTTATAAACAATGTCAAGTTACAATACAATTGTTTGCATACCATTCATTGTAGCAAACTACGAACGATATGTTACTAATTGTACACTCAAATTGCCTTCGGATGTTTTTTTGCAATGACTGGTATGTTTGAGTCATATGCAATTTTGATCGTAACTGCAGGCACGCTTTTGCATTTTTTGGTCTCCAGAAAAACAATAGGTGGCTTGGTATTTTATACAAAATCTTAGGCAATATTTTACCTACCTCTGATGATTACACTGATTCTGACAAAACCTCAATCTCAGTGCTTCCAATGCAACATCTTCTAGAACAAAAATCTTATCATGAAATTGTTGAACTTAATAACTTGTGTCTTTTATATAAGGTCGAACCAATTCTATTGGACTTTCTTCGACCATAAATGTTTTCTTCATAAAGACTTTAAGACTTATGACATGCTATTATAGTTTTAATCTCAATACCCATTGCGACTTCTGTACCGATTGTGACTTCATTTGTATTTTGACACATATTACCTTGTAACTCTTATGTTTGCCGCAGTCAATGTACTTATTGTAATTTATTATTTCATTGCAATCCATTATCGTACATACTGTCGGATATCTTCTTTTTGTTAAAAAAAAAATGATTTATATCATGATTTGCTTTTATATTAAGTGAATTAATAACTTTTTATTACAATCTTTTTTTATTTTTACTTTTCAATTTTTAATTTTTGTTTTTTTTACTCATTTAATAAGCTAATTTACAATTATTTTAATTTATTTTAATTTTTTTTAATTATTTCATTTAAATTAGTTAAACATTTTTTGTTGTTAATTTAAAATGATTTTTTTTAGTTGTATACTTTATGATAAAAGTATAAATGTTTTTATTTGTACTAAACATTTATAAATATTGTGTATTTTTACTGTAAAATTCTAATAGAATTTTAGCAATTATAATAAAGATATTTTTTGTAACTCATGTGTTCAATTTGATATTTTTATTTAAGGTTACTTTAACAGTGATAATTTGTACTTTCTAATTATCAAATATTATTTGATGATATCAAAATAATTGTAATGTACTTGTACATTTTATTTATTGTGACTAATGAGTTATTGAGTAGTTAACTAGAAAAATGTAAAAAAAAACAGCACAGTGGGGTCTATTATAGAAGAGATTTAATTGTTTAGTAGGGAGATAGTGTCTTTCAAACCCTCTCTGTACTTACCAACCCAACTCAATTCTCTGTACCCTCTCTTTTTATATTTTCACAAAAAAGCAAACAAAAAAAAACAAAACAATAGCGGGGACGAGCAATAGTTGGGCGTACTATAGATTTAACCTGACAGTTATTAAAATCACTATCATAAAAAACGCAGGGAGGTTCAAAACCTAAAAATGCATATAGAGAGTAGAACTTTAAAACTCAATTTTTGAATGTGTTCCGGGAATATTGACATTTTTATATATATCTTAAATTAAAGCTGATGTAATATACTTAAATATGAAAAAAAAAATTTCGGACTTTATTTTATTTTTACGTTAATAATGGACATCAAAATTAATAAAAAAGTACGATTTTTGTAAAAAATAACAACATCAAATCATTAAATATCAATTTCATACTACATTTAATTGCTATAATAAATATTTATTCATATATTATACCTATAAATTATAAAACTTGTAATCGGAATATAAATAAGGAAATATGCGATCATGTTCTTTTGGAATCATCAAATTTTTTAAAATTTAACACTACAAATTTGCATTGAAGCGTTTTTTATGTTAGTGTATTATTCACTGTCAGATATCATATATATTGGACTTAACTATGCTACGTCCCCACTGTGCTGGTTTTTTTTTTCAAATCATTACAAATCTGTTAAACGTTTTAAAATATTGAAAAGAAAAACATTTTTATTCAAAAGACTCTTATTTTGAAAAAAAACTCATAAATGAAATGTCGACTAATACTTTCTAACTTCAAAAAACTTGTAAAAATTGTCGTTAAAACTTATGTTGTAATATTTAATTGTAATATAATTTGTAACCATTTTTGTTAATCAGCCAAAATTTTATTTATCTAGAATAGTTATAAATAGTATACAACTAATATTTATCGGTGGCTCCTCATTCAAATGGACTTTGTACAAATGTACCGAATTTCCTTCCATAAATATGGTACTATGTATAGTAATTTTTGATATTTTTATATATCTATATATTTATGTAGTTTATATGTAAACATTACACCACATGAATGATAGTTTCCCGCTTTTTTCATTATCAATAATTTCATATCATTTTGTTGATTATCATTTCTAATTTTTCTTCTAAGTTTTTTATATGATAAAACCAAATACTACTGCATATTGACATAGATTAAATCTATGTTATTAATTAAAATATTATAATTTTTAAATAAAAAATTTATTCATCACTACTAAACTTTAGTTTATTGAAAAATTCTTATTAATTTCAATATAAATGAGGTGGAAATCAGTAATTCTTATCTCAAAAAATGATAGTGATATTGTGAGGTTACCTATGATCTTTTTATAACAGTAACTGATTTGTAAATAATTATTAGATGACATTATTATTAATCATAATTTTATATTAATAGGACTAAATTTGACGAGGTTTTTAATCAATTGTGTTTGATGTTTGTAAAATTTATAAAATAAGTAAATATGATGAATAAACCTAATGTTGTTTCTAATAAAAATTTGTCTAGCAAAAGTAACCTGAACACCTTGGGTAATAATTTTACATGTAGATCTAAAAGTAATTTAAGTAAGTATGAACTTAAATAGATATTTTTTCATAATTTTGAATAGTGAATTATTGTAGGTAATAATTCTTCAACTATTAATTTAAATCCAAATATTACACTTGAAAGAAATGGTAGTATGCCTAATATAAATCTAACGGGTAGTAGAATACGCACAGATAAAACTACTAACTTACATTTTGCATATGATGGATACCTATGCGGCTTAGTAGCCAAATATGATGCAAAAAAAAAAATGGAAAAAGTTTTGTCTAACATAAAAAACCAAGAAAAAATCTTTGAAGAAGAAATGATTTCAATAGAAAAAAATTTATCAACATTAAACAATGAAATAGAAAATAAGCATAAACTTAAATCAGAAAAAAATACATTAAATAGAGATATTACAGTTTTTAAACTTTTGGGTATGTAGCATTTAACAATTTTTTTTTAAATAAATAAGATATTTTATTGATTTTAATTAATATATTTCTATTAAATTCAAAATAATATTGGATTTTAATTGATATTAAATTTCTTTGATTTCAGATAATACACGTATGTTCAATAGTATTGATGAAAATATCATAACCTTATTATATGACGCAGTTCATAAAATTATTTTAAAAAATTTTGAAAAACTTGAAAATGTTGACATAGGTAACACAGGTTTTTGTTTTGGTTACACTATGATTCTTATTTAATTATAATAGTGTAATTAATTAAAATATATTTTAGTATTATTATAACTGGGAGTTTAATTTTAAAATGTCATGTAATAATATTTTTTTTTTATTAATATTAGCACTAAAATAAAATTTAATAAATATATAATTAAATAAAATTAATTATAGGAAAATTTTTGAGTTACAATCATTTGAATTCAAATAAAAACTGAATTTTGTTGTGTTACTATAGTTAGTAAATGTTAAAACTTGATATTACACAATGCTGTTGTAAATTATAAAAAGTTGTAAATATTAATGTTGTAATGTGTAAGTAAAATATAACTAAAAAGTAAAATACATTTAATGTATTTACATTTAACGTATCTTGTTTAAAATGTTTATGTAATATGAGTAAAATTTTATTTTGTCAAATTTTGAACGTTTCTTATTCAAAAACTATATTGTAAAATAAATTTTTTTACTAATAATATTAATATTTTTAATTAAAATTACTATATATATTGCATTGAAAACATGCGTTTTCATTTTATTTTTGAAAGTTAATCCCTCAATTGCTCCATAAACTTATAAAAAAAAATTAGTGTTAAATAATAATTATTATTTACATTATGTTATAATAAAAACTTTTTGATTATTTTAATAGTAATTGAGAAATAGTCTTTGACATGAAATTTGCTACCATTATTTATAAAAATTTTGATTAACAGATTAAATAAAGATAATTTTTATTAATTTTAGGTGTTGTTACAATTTTATTAGATGAAATATTAAACCCTTCAATATTATTAGATTTTAATAATAAAATAGAAGTTCGGCAACATATAAAAAACTTATCTATAAAAATTGCTAAGCTAACTAAAGAATTAGATCAACAAAAATCAATGTAAGTGAATCTTTATATCTTGAATATTTTTCAATGTTTTGATAACTATGATATTTTTATTATATAGACAAGATGATTTATTGAAAGAAGAAACTTTTTTATTTTTGGTAATAGAAAGTATTGTTTGATTCAAATAACATAATGTATTATTAAGTTATATTTTTTTGCATTCTTTCAGGGTTAAAATACTTAATTTTTTTTTTTGGATCTCTTATTTTAGTTTGATATAATAAAATATTTTGTTTGTATAATATTTTAACTGACCAACTTTACGTTTTAAAATTTTTAAAGATTAATATTTAAAATACAAATAGATCATTAAATTGGTTTTCATATTAATGGAGGCAACATTATCTCCTTTTATGTGCCATAAATTATTTATAAAATAATAATCGAGAAAAATTTTCCACACTTATCATTCATTAATGTACAATAGTAAACTTGTGTTGAATATAAAAGTTTGTATCAATTAATAGTCATGAATTATTAAAGTTAATATTACTGTATGATAAATAATTTTGAGTTATACCTGTAACAAATTACGACTACTGTATGTTAAACAATAAGTTATGAAGGGGCAAAAAAAAAATTATTTTACTATTTTGAATCAAACAATATTTTCTTTCACAAAAATTAAAAATTTTAAATAATGAGTTTTATATTTAATAAAATATTCTATATACCTAAAAAGTGTCACAAAGATATGAAAATTGAATAACTTTTGATTTAGTAAATATTTTACACTACTTTCTTTTATTAATAATTTTAAGGATTATAATCTTCAATTTTATTAAAATATTTTTAATTTATGTAAAAATATTTTAAAATATTAATTTTATTTATTTATTTAATTCGATGACTTATAAAATGATTTTTTAATCATATACTGTATTTATAAGCCCAAGTAATGCTTCTAAAAAAAATTTAGTACCAAAAGATTCTATTATTGTTTTTAGTTAAATATCTTAAGGATTTTATAGTTAGTAAAAATTTTTACATATATATTTCACTGTATCCAATAATAATGGTATTAAATGAGAAAGATAAAAGTATGTGAAATATTTTCACAGTATATGTGAGCTGTGGCTATAACATTCTTGATCCAACTCAATGAAAATTTATCATACGTATGTATAGTATCTTAAAAACTTTTTTTTAGAAGGTAGTGACTCTCAAAACTAAAATCCTTAATATTATATATTGATTAGAATTAAGAAATACATAAACGAATATTTATCATTTTGTACTTGTGATAACTAAAATAAACTCTATAAATGAATGAAAACTCAAACCCTATTTATGACTAACAAAAAAAATATTAATTTTGTTTTTCAAAATCCAAAATAGCCATTTTTTAAACCTGTTTCTTACAATAAATGTTTATGAATTGTAAAAATTTTAGGAAAAGTACTCATTGAGTTATAAGCATTTTAATACAAAGAGTGTATGTGTAATACAAATAGGGTATGCGTTATAAATAGACGCCAGTACGAGCTGTATTCACCATCTCTATATATCCACTCTATGTATTAAAACGCTTGTAACTCAATAATTACTTGTCCTAAAATTGTAATTAATTCATCAAATTTTTTTATAAAAAAAAACAATTAAAGTTGGTTGTTTTAAAATTGAAAAAAAGAAATTCAAATTTTTTTTGTTATAAGTGATAAATTATAAAATATATGCTTTAAACATAGTCAAAGAAGTCAATATTATTATTGTTATATTATAATATTATAATTGTTGATTTGATCTGGTCTACCATGTATGAAATGCATCAAAATGGCCCACTATTTACAAAAAAAAACAAATTTTTTAGCTTTTGTAGGTCTTTAGCCATTTAGTATACCTTACAAAAATATTTAAAAATATTATTTTTTTATAAACAAGATGATTTTTCTAAATATTTTATTGCTTTTTAAATGAAAATTTATCAAAAATAAATAATGTTTTTTTATTTAATCTTATTTTAACATAATAATATTTTTTTAATAAAAAAATATTTTAGGTGTGAAGAATTGTTTGAGGAACATGAAATTTTATACTACAAACATTTATCTTTAAAACTTTTGAAATCTCAATTTGGAGAAAATTCTGATTTAAAATTAAATCTTATGAATTGCGGGGCAGATATTATAAATTAATTCAAGATATAAAGTAATAATTCAAACATAAGATTATTAATTTCTTTAAAATTAAAAATACATCCTATTTTTGTGAATTTTTTTTCATAAAATCATAGTTATTAAAAGTTATGATAGGCTTGGTTACACTAAGAAAAATTTAGGAGTAATTAATGTAAAATTGTAATTTTTCTTATAATTAAATTAATAATTATTTATTACAAAAATATTGTTTTTTTCAGCTGTTAACTATGAATTTAAGTTTAATGTTAATTTTTTTTTACTTTGTATTTTTTTAAATATTAAACTTATGTAATATTTTATATTAATTTAAAATAAAAATTCTATTGAATGTAAAATAAAATAATTTTCCAGTAATGAAGAATTATATACATAATTTTATCATATTTAATTTTTCTATAAGTATGCTTGTATAATTTGTTCGAAATTTAAAACAACAAAATTTTAAAACTTAGATAAATTTCTATCATATTTTCCCAGTAAAATTAAGATATACAAATATAATGAAATTATGCCATCTATCCTATTTTACTTCATCATAAGATCAAAATAGAACATTTGACTTTTTAATTGTTTTAAATACTAAATTAATATTTTATGAAATAGCAAATATCTTAAATTTTAATTTAGTTTTTGTTTTATCATAAAAGTTTAAATTAATCATGTTACAAGAGATAAACGTTATGTGTACTATTATACTCAGAGTTCCCCTACCTTATAAAAACTTAATACAATCATTATGTATAAAAAACTATTAAGATATAAAGTATGTAAGTGACATAGTTATAATTTTGAGAAAAATTAAAAAAAAAAAAAGGTAAAATTATCAAAACATTATATAATTATAATTATAATTATGAATATTTTGAATTATAAGTAGTCATATAGAAAAGTTAGTTTGTTAGAATAAGTTGTTTTTAGTTCAACAAGTTTGATAATCTAGAACAATTATTCATGTGACATTAAAAATATAAATTATCTACTATAATACTTATTGGATTATATTATGAAATTGAGTAGGATGCAATAATGGTATTCAATCTTTATTGAAATACAAAATACATGAAAAATTATTATTTAAAATTAAATATTTAAAATAATCAAAAGAACATTTTCTTTTTATGTGTACATAATTCAATAAATCTTTATTGTTTAAAAACATATATTTTTCTCTGAGTTAACTAATATTGAATTTTTTGTAATAATAAAATAATTCTAAAATAGCCTATTTTTGAGAAAAATTATGATGAATGATACTACTTACTCCTTTTTAGTTTTTCTAATTAATCTAAATATTTTTTCCTATATAGGTTCTATAACTATTTAGGGAAAGGTAAAAAATCTTTCATATGATAATAAAACTAATTTATTAATTCTTTAACTAAGAGGCTATACCACCTTAGGTTCAATCAGTAGGGTGCGCCATTAAGATTTATTTTTTTTAAGTAAGTGGAAGAGAAAAAAAATTTTGAAACCACTAATCTAAATATTACTGCATTGTATTAAAATTCATGGCTGTTATACTACTCAAATGGTATTGTTATACTATATTATAGATTAAATAAAAATAGCCATATTATTGTTTTGAACATTTTATACATTTTATAGTGGAAAGTATTTTTATTAGAATTTAAAACATTCATTAAATGAGTACAATTTTACAATATTTGAACATTGACTAGAAATTACACTATATATTCAAATTTTTATTACCAATTAATATTAACATATGACCCATTAAAAATATGTCATATACACTCTTATCTAATAATGAGTTGATAAAATATGAGTAACAATTTGAGATTGTGTATTGAAAATATCATTACAAAGATCACACTTAAATTCACTTCTAATATTCGTCTGAATTTCATTTTCGAGTTCATTTTTCATACAAATTTGAAGTTTTTCTAGTTTAGGTTCAATATGAACTGTAGTGTGTTCTTCAAGAATTTTCGAACATGCAAATAACATTCCGCAAACATTACATTTGAAATTTTCATTTAATTTTAAATAGTTACAAACATCCTCAGTTTGATAAATTTTGCTTATGTCATGGGATTTTTTATGAGTAATAAACATACTGTAATCTGAAAGTATTAAATGACACAAATTACATTTGAAACTGTTACTATTTATATGGATATTTTGGTGTTCTTCTAAAAGAAAATATTGTGTAAAAGACTTGCTACAAATATCACATGTATAAGATGGTTTTAAGTTAATTTTACATTTTTTGCATATATAAATATTTGTGAAATTTTTATGTATATTTAACATAGTTGAACAATTAAAAGAGTCACTGGAATAAGAATTCAGTAGTTTTTCTTTTGAGCATATATTTTTGTTAGTTAGTGATTTTGATGTCAGTAAATAATTTTTTAGGCAGCAGTTAGTAATAAATGGTTTACATTTCATATGAATTCTTGAACGAAATTTTAAATTAGATATTACTTTAAAGCGTTTTTTGCATACACAGCATACACAAGATTTTTCACCGGTATGAATTCTTTCATGTGATAAATAGCTTGAAAAGTTGGAAAACATTTTTGAACAAAACTGACATTTAAAGTGATTTATACCAAGATGCCATTGATAATGTTGATAAAGACGATAAGATGAATTGAATGATTTAGGGCAAACATCACATTTATAAGAATTTTTACTATAATGAATTTTCATATGTTCGCTAAGTTCTAATGAAGAATAGAAAGAAACTGCACAGATTTTACAACTAAATTTTTGATAATTATTATGCTCCTTAAAAATGTGCATTTTGATATCTGAACGTTTGTAAAACACTTTAAAACATTCAGAGCAGTGATAATTTTTAGAAAATTTATGTTTCTTTTTAATGTGTTGAGACAAATTAAAATCATAATTAAATTTCTTATTACAATATCTACATTCAACAAATTCAAATTCATGTTTATACCAATGGTTTTTTAACTTTCTATCACATTTGAACACATCACTTTTCATACTTGAAGATTGCATATAATTTTTTATACAATTATCAAGATTAAATTTATTTTTATTTTTCAAGTGATTTTTATGTTTACTATTTTTGTTTTTATTAAGATAATTTACATGGATATTGTTATTAATATAGTTTTCTTCATGATTATTTTTAGATACTACATTCCTAAGCGCTTGTGTAAATATGTCTTTCTTATCATTATTAGTGGTATAGTTTAAATTTGAACTATTTTTGTTGTCTTCTAATTTTAAATATACTTGTCTAATAGCTGCGGATGTTTTATAAGCATGATGTTTTATACTATTCCGTTTGAAATTAGATGGACTCGATGGGAAACACAAACTAGTTTTGAAGTGATGAATGATTAGTTGACGTTTTTTGAAAATTCTTGCGCAAATATCACATTTATACTCTTTAAATGATCTATTTTCTTGATATTGTGTTTTATTAAATGAATTTATTTGGTAACGATAAACTTCTTTTGGGTATGTGTCATTATTTGTTTGGGTTTCAGCTTTAAAAGCAAGGCAATTACTTTCCAATGAATCACTAAAATTGGCTATTGATGAAAGAGGCAATTCATATTCTGAAGAACTGAAATATAGAATTTAATTTTCAATGTTTAATATAAATTGAATTAAAGTAAAATACTTACTCCTCAAATTCATATAAATTATCGTCCAAATCAATGTTACGCCACTTTGCTGATAATATGCTTTTAATTAAATGATTACAATTAGTACTCTGATTTTTTTTTTCTGACATTCTATAACTAAAGAATTAATTAAAAAAATATAGTTTCAACTATTAAACCCATTTTTTAAATAAATAAATATATTATAAATACAATAATAAATATAATAAAGTAAAATAGATAATTTGATTAGTTCAAATTTATAAAGTTTTACCTTTCAATTTAATACTACATAATTACAAAAATTATATTAAGTTAAAACGATTATAATTATACTAAAAATTTTTTTTACTGTTTTGGAGTAATATTAAAGATGCAAGATGTGACCTGATAACATGAAGAGGAGGTTGGTATATCAATACCCAGACATTAACATATACAAAAATAATTACCACTCTACTATATATATAAAGGTATATAGTACATAATTAATAAAATGTTGTATATTTTGTGTAAAGATTAAAACACAAATTGTATTATATCGTTTTAGTATTTCACAATTAATATACATTAAATTATTATTACTATTTTTTTTATTGTGATAGACTACAAAATATTGAACTGCTATTTATAAGCCTTTTTTTTGTAAAATTCTCAATTAATTTAAATAAAATTGAAATTAATTCATGTAAAAAAATAGTATGAGATACGACTTATTTACTAGAATGATTTATATTTTTGCTCATATAATATTCTTTTATAAATACCATATTCATTAGATTTAATGGGTTGTACATATTTAACAATCGTGTAGTTTTTCATTGGAAAATGGAAAAAATGATAACTTTTTAAATGCTAGAAATCTAAAATTTTATTAAAAACGCAATTATTTGTTATTTTTTCGTAATCACTTTATCAAATATTAATTTATTATTTATTATTATTAGTTTTTTAATTTAATTAGTATTTGTTAGCTATTATTTATGTATTAAATAGCTAAAGAAAAAATTATTAAGAAAAATTCCTTTAATAAATATATATTGTATGAATATTTAAAAATTTTCGGTATTACACATAATTATGAAATTTTAGATATTAATAAATCCTATTAAGTATTGAATGTCTCATTATTATAACTATGGTAATTTCCCTAAGCTAACATATTAGCTTTTGGTAATACCCACACATTTTTTCAAAAATTTATTGATATATATATATAATGTAAATTTTATAAAAATAGTCTTAATAAGTGTAGCTTTTAGCAATGTTTCAGAAAACCCAATATTAATAAAATTGAACTGCATTGTTTTGGGTCTTAACAGAGAATATCTTTCTTGTGACGTATAATAAAAAAACTCAAATACTCATTTTTGTGACTAATCAGCTAATGGATATAAGTCACAGAGTTGAATTTATTACTTATCATTTAACCAACTCTTTCAAAGAAAAATTTAAACGCATTGAAACATTTATATAGTGTTCAGTAAGTAAGAAAATGGGTATCTATTGTTTTCATTGTTTATAACAATTGATCTGTTTTCTTACTTACTGAATACTCTGTATATATATATATATATATATAAATTGAGAATTTTCAAGAGAGCAAAATCAAAATTTATGTTGTCATGGAAGTCAATGTTTTAGAAGTGTATGTAACAAGCCTTCTCCATGAAATTTTAATATAAAAATATAGCCTTTACTTTACATATTATAAAAAATCTTAAGAACTCAAAGTTGTGACTTTGGATGTAATTCACAGTAATTATTATAGCATTAATGATTGGTATATTGAAAATTAATAATATTATCCACAAAAATTTTATTTCACTTGTGACAAATACTCATTAAATTGTAATTAAATAATACTATGATAATAAAATTATTCATGCATAATTATGAAGGGTTATAAGATTAGATTATTATTATTTCCTATTTTGTCACAAAAAAAAAATTGAATGAATGGAAGGAATAAAAAATGCTGGAAATTTAGAATTTATTTATGGTGGCTTATTCTTCTAGTGATACTTCATACACAATTTCCATAAATTCTAAAGACTTCCGGAGTTCAAATTTCCTCATTAAAACATAGTTAAAAACTTCACGCGACTTTCTAATATAATTCCATTAAAAAATTTTGTAAAATCCAATATATATATAGTGTTCAGTAAGTAAGGAAACGGTTTCTAATGTTCTCATTGTTTGTAATAACTGACCTGTTTCCTTACTTACTAAACACTCTGTATATATATAAGGAGATTTTTTATAAACAGTATACTCATGAGTCAATAAAGCAAAAATAAATTTACTTTTAACTTTAATGAAACTACATTAATCGAATTTAAATAATACTAATTCTGTAAGAATATATCAATATTTGGGTAAATTAAGTATTTTGCAACAAAATACATGTTTTTACTTATGGTGAAAATTTTTTTGTTTTCACAAGGGTTGTTAGAAAATATTTTTTAACACATTATTTTTTCATAATATTTTTTTCGGCCTAACACTATCACACTATAAAATATTAACCATTGTTTGGTTCCATGTTCCAAGAACACTGATAATAATGATAAATGTTAAAATTCAAATATTAACTGCTATATTTCTATTGTTATTTTTATATTTGCAATTATTGTTTACGGTTTTATTTATATAATATTTATTTAATCGTAATAATTATTAATTATATTAAATTAAATTATATTATAGCTACATCATAATTACTTTTAATTACGATTTGTACGTACAAATATGAATGAAATATTTAATAAAATTGATTTAGTTAAAAATGATTGTGGTTTACGTTTAATTCAGTGTGAAAGTATCGAGTTTGACACAATTAAATGTAACTATTATTTTAAAGTTAGTATTTTATATAAACATTTTTAATTCATAAAAAAAATTTAAATAAAACATTACATCATAAAATATTTTATTATGTTAAGTTTAGTATAATTTAAATAAATTTTACTTGTCTTCCAATAAATGGAATTTCCTTATCAAATTATTTAAATTAAAAGTATGTGAAGAAAATCAATCACTGTCCTTTTCAATAAAAATAATTTGGACTAAAATGGCTGTTTTTTCATAAATTTCATAACCATGTTTATTGAGTTTAATAATTTAAGTATTTTATCTAATTACAGACTTTAGTTGAAGGTTCACTTTCTCAATTTATAAAATCAATTCAAGTTTTTCTTACATCTTCAAATCATCATAATATTTATGTATTGTATGTATGTTTAAGTCAAATAAAAAAATGTCTTCTTATTTATGAATCAACTCTTAAAGGAATAAACACAGTATTTTTTAAGAAGGTATAATATTAACTTAATGTTCACATTTGATTTAAATTATTTATACTAAATTTAATTAATTTTAGTCTGTATACATATATACAATAAAGCGTATTCAGAAATGTTTTTTCAAAATAGAAGATTATTTTGAAAGAATAGATATAAGCGATAATGATAATGATGAAACACCTGGAATATTTACTAAACGAATAAATACAGTATTGAATTATTTGAGCAAAAAACAAGATATCAACGTCATTAAACCCATTATTAATAAAATATTGTTTCAAGCAATTACTATAGCCAAAGTATCTGAAGAAATGCATAACTTAGATATAATATCATCATCTAAACAGGTACTCTTATTAGAAAAATTAATTACATTATTATGCTAATCAATTTAAGAATCAATTTTAAAAAATAAAAATCAATTTTAACATAGAAACATTCTTCTTGTAAAAGTACTAGTAGTTGAGAGATTAATTTTCAATTATTATTAACTGTGCAATTATCATAAAAATCAGAATAGGAAAGTACATAAAAATAAAAGATTTTCTAATATGAAAATTTTACTTACATTGTTAAAAATACCATATCGATTTATACCTATATATTTAGAGGCATATTTATTAGCCTACTACTAAAATTTGTACGACCACCAAAATTTTTATCAAATTTTCTGAAGTGCTTTCTCTCCCAAAAATATCTATATATATGTCTGCCCAAAGTGATAGGCAAATACAAAAGTATTTCTATATTTTATTAAAAATGGAAATAAAATTTAATAGTAAAATTTATTTATTGCGAACCACTTAATTAATCAAAAAATAAAAATGATAAAATGAGAATTTTTTATGTTGGTTTCATTTAAATACATGTTTCTTTTAATTTATCAATCATAAAATTTTTTTTATCTCTTATACCTTATAAGGGTGGTAATTAACCAGCTTATTTAATGGTTAATGAACTAATTAAGAAAATGACTGGTCAATAATAACTTTTAGACCATTATTTTGAAATTTATTTACATTTTATAGTGATGGCAGGGGTTAGATACAGTTGTTTTTATATTTATCACTAATTTTTTTACAGCTTTATTCTTCCACCCGCCTAGGTATAATAATGAAAATGACTTCCAAAATATTTCTTTAACGCTTGTAATCGACAAGTTATTTTTTTAATTAAATAATTATCTATTAAATTAACTAGTGAATTATGTGTGTTACCATTTGAAATAATACAGATGATATTCTAATAAGGTATAAGAGATGAATATTTATAATATTTTATGATTAATAAATTAGAAAGATGTGTACCTCAAAAAATCTAAAAAAAATTTTTAATAGTATTTTTATACTTTGATTAATAAAGTAATTCATGATAAATGAATCATCATAATAGTATGATGATAAAAAAACCAAGACCCTCTCAATTTTTAATTGATAAAAAAATAGTTTCCTAAAAGTTATAAACCAACCACTGGCTCTAAACCACATAAGAATTAAAATATGATCAAAAAGAATCATTTTTTAGCTTTTACGGATAACTAAGCATATCAAGTAAGCAATTTATGAAATAAAAAATAAGATTTTCTAATAAAAAAAATTGAACTTTAAATTATTTAGCTGAAATAATAAATTTTGATTTTAATTTTTGATCATGGAAAGGTTATAAAAGAAATAGAAGAATTAAGTAGAGATAGTAATCTTGGTGAAAATGATTACTCTTTTAAGTTTGATTACCTATCTTCTTTGATATCAATTCTTGAAAGGCGCATAAACTCTTCAATTTTACATCTTGTTTATAAGGTATTTAAAATGTACATACATGGGTGATCAAAAAGTAAATTGCATAATGTCATAATTTTTTATAGTTATATTAGACATTTTTTTATAAAATCTTGTTTAAAAAACACTGTACATCTCTGGCAATATTATGAACATTGGATTGACTTACATAATAATTGTTTCATCAAAAAAAGATTTTATCATGGATATTACCACATTTCCTCCGTTCAAAATGGAAATCCACTCTACTATTAAGTTTTAATAGATAGAAAATTATTTAATAGTCAATATTTTGAGTAAAATATGAAAACATTATAGTGGTAAAAAAAGTTTTTAAAAAAATCTTAGTGCACCAATTATTGTGAGACTAAAAAATGAAAAAAAAAATTAATGTTTAAGAAAATTTCAAATGGAATTGTGCTTATCCATGATAGCAAAACTCCACACTTAACAAAAATTATCCAAAATCCCTTCTATAAATTCAAATAAGACATAAGAATATTATTCCTAAACTTAAACCTTTGATTTTTAAATTTTTTGGACAGATAAAATATAACTAACTAGATAGAGTCACTCTCATAGTGTTTTGATATAACTCTGAACTCATGCTATAAAGTTGGACAGATTTTTGAATAAAACATTTTTAAACTTATAGTACTGTATGAAAAAAAACAACAATTTAGTTGACAGTTACATAAAAAAAAAACATTTTATGCCTACTTAAAAAAAAAAAAAACAATGTTTGGTAATTTAAAATAGATTACATTTTATGGCGAAATTCAACTTGCTTTTGGATCACTCCTTGTATATATTAATACCTATCAAATATTCAGTTTTTATTTATTTGTAAGGTGTTTTGTGATCCATTTTTTACAATAAAACAGCTTATTAAAAAATGTGGTGAAGATTCAAATATTCAGTACAAAAAATGTGATGATCTTTCAATAATGGTACAAGAATTAGATAATTATACTGATATTTTAATTCAAATTGGAATATATGCTATTTCCTCTTATACAGACATTGAAGGTAAATATAGTTAAAGAAAATTAAGATAGTTTGTTTTCTTTTATAAAACAAATAATTTTTTTTAAGAGAGAGCGATAGTATTGGATTTTTATTAGATTAAATAATTATTTTTTTACATAATTGCTACTGCTGTGTCAAAAATAAAAATTGCTAGGAATATTATTAGAGCTCTGAATTTTGTTCTTTTGCATATTTTTAGGGGTTCAAAAATCTTAACAAATTGTTATGTTTAATTAGATGGTAACATTTTTTTTTGGATATTTAAGAATATTTCATAATAAAAATGGAGAAAATCACTATTACTTATGAGTATTAGTATGAAGATTTGGGAAAAGGTAATAGATAAAATAATAAGAAATGAGACATCGATATCTAAAAACCAGTTTGGATTTATCCCTGGTAAGTCAACAATGGAGCCAGTATTTTGTGTGCGGCAACTAATAGAAAAGTTTAGGGAAAAGAACAAAAAGCTGTGTATGGTATTTATAGATTTAAAGAAAGCGTACCGAGAGAGGTTTTAAATTGGGAATTAATGAGAAAAGGAGTCCTGAAAAGGTACATTAATATAATAGAAGATATGTATGATGGCACTTGTATCAGGGTAAAAAGTGTAAGAGGAGGAGTAACAGAAGGTTTTCAGGTAAGAGTAGGAGTGCACCAAGGTTCTGCTTTAAGCCCTTACTTATTCTCTATAGTGATGGATGAAATTACTAGAGGAATATAAGGAGAGGTGCCGTGGTGCATGTTGTTTGCTAACGATATAGTGTTAATAGGAGAAATTAGGGAGGAAATTAATCAAAGGCTAGAGGTGTGGAGATTAGCTCTTGAAGAAAAGGGTTTAAGAGTAAGTAGAAATAAGACAGAGTATGTAGAGTATGAGTTTGACAAAGAAGAACATGAGGTAAGAGAAATGAGGAGACCAGTGACAATAGGTGAGGAAATGATTGAATAGGTGAAAAGTTTTAAATATTTAGGGTCAGTCGAGGAGAGAATGAGTGTAGCAGAGATGAGAATGCTTAGATGGATGAATGGAGTGACTAGAGAAGATAAAATAAGGAACGAGCATATAAGAGGGAGTATAGGTGTAGTGCCAATCGTGGATATAATGAGACAAAATAGACTTAGATGGTTTGGTCATGTTATGAGTAAAATACATTTTTTTATTTTATTTTATTCAAGTAAATTAACTAAGTATATAATTAAGTTAATTTAACCTATATACTTAGATAGAACTAGTTTTTTTTTATTTTGGAAAAGAAGAGAAAAAATGAATTTAGTTTATTATTTTCATGTTTTTAAAAGCATATTTTGTATTTAAGAATAAAAAATATTATTTTAATAAAATAATATTTTTAGCATAGCATAGTATTTTTTCTTTGATTTTTTAATGGACATACGAAAAATATTTTTAACTTTTTGAGAAAATATCAGGTTATTATAGCCTAAAAGAATATTATTACGACAATTTGTCATTACTACTTAAAAAAATAAAAGCATTTGTGCTATCTTGTAAAGAATCACTACCTCTGATGGTTAATGGATTAACTTGGGTTACTGTTTAAGAAAAATTAACTGATGCCTCCAAGAAGTATTTCTTGTAGTACTCCCATTTAAGTAAATATTATAAAAAAATACTACTTTTAACTTCATGACTTAAAAGCAATTACTTTATACCAAATTCACTCTGTAAATATATTTGTATTATTGCTATCAAGTATAAAATCCTTAAAATATGCTATTATATCGTAATGCTACACACAAGAAAATTTTACAGTGTTCAGTAAGTAAGAAAACAGGTCAATTGTTATAAACAATAAGAAAATAAAAACCCCTGTTTTCTTACTTTCTGAACACTATATATAAGTATTGTAATGCACTGAAATTTTTCTTATGAAGATTTGGTTAAGTGATAAGTAATAAATTCAACTCTGTGACTATCCATAAGCTTTTGGAAAATAGCTAGAGAGTTATTTAGACTATTTTTATAAAATTTACATTTGTTTTTCTTATAATACTTATAAAATATTAATTTTATGAATATTTATGATAATAATTAAAAGAGTAGTGAATAGTAACTTGTTTATGCTACTGATTTGCTGTATAAATTTTATTGATACTATTGAAAAACTATATCAAATAAAATACAATAAAATTAGTATGCTACTTCTAACCACTGATTTTATAAGTAAAAAAATTTAATTTTTAGATATTATTGCATTAAAATGTTGTATATCAAGTTTAGAATTATTGGATAGTGATATGGTACCTGCCATTGTTGGATTTTATTTAGATCCAACATCAAGTGAAAAAAAATCTTTTGTAAAACTGCTTATAAATCATTGGATTACTGAAATTATTCATTTGCAAAAGTTATTTTATAAAATAATTGATCCAATTACCTATACACAAGTACACAAATTATTTAATTAAAATGTGATTATCTAGATGGAGTATAGTGGATATTTAATAAAAAAAAATTTAGATGTGCCTATAACAATTGTTCTAGTGTTGCAATAATTTAAGTTAATTGATTTAATGGTTGTAGCAGCCAAAGTTGTAATTTTAATAATAATGAAAAAAAAATTATCGTTTTAAATGATACCTCTTCTTAACTCTGCTAAAATCATGCTAAAAGAAGGAATTTTTTATTTTTATCATTAAATGAACTCGGTTTTAAGTATTTAAACAAAATAAACTAAATAATTTTTCCAAATCTTAGTTCAGAATTTATGGCACTCTTTAGATATATTACTGCTTAAGAAGCTATAGACAGTTAACTTTATGAGCTACACAGTACTCTAGAAATCATTATTAGATTTCAATTTTATTTAGAAGTGCATAATAATATTATAATAAAAATACAGTATTATAAAATTAAGTTGACTTAATTTATAGTTATAATGTTACATTAAACTTAATTTTTTTATTTAATATTGTGAAGTATTTTACAAGCATCTAGAACTTAAGGACCTTATCAACCAACAGTGAAATTTTTTGTTTATTAGTTTATTTAACTAATGTATTAAAAAATTTTAAATCTTAAATGATATTCAATGAGTATTATATTGGAAGATGTATTTTTTTTTTAAAAAAATAGAATTTTATAGTTAGCTTTAATCGAAAATGATAATTTAATATTGCTCTCCTGAATTGTAGGAAATTAGTTGATACACTTTTTTAATTTTAGACCCGCGTGAAGATGTTGCTTACTATAAATTCATTTTTGTCAAAGGTTTGGTTTATTTTTATTTTACAATACCCTTAACATGTCAAACAAAGATTATTTTAACTCCTCTAGATGCTCACTCATTTTTAATTTTAAGTTAATTTCACTCTTATTTCTACAATGCTTAGTCTAAGGGTCCTAGTCTGAAAAACATTGTATTAGAATAAAAAATTAAACCTTTTTTTTACATTTATACGTGTTGAAATTCCTAATTCATTAAAATTTATAATGTTTAATGAAATTGTGTCATTACTAATTTTTTTATTATAAGAATCTTGTAATATTATAAATTCTGATTTTTAAAATTGGAATAAATCCTAACCAAACTTTTCCTAAAATTCAAGGACTTACAAAATTATTTAAATATTTATTTTAACTTGAACCAAATATAAATATTTTATGATTAAAAACTTGTGCAAAAGATTTTTAAAAATCTTATAATTTTTTTTAGTACTACTTATTGCCTTAATATTTTAATAATCAATTTAAGAATTCATTCTTTTAATTTAATTAATAACTGTTTATTCTTTAATAATGTTAGCTAGTTTTTTATTTGAGCACCATAGATGTTATCCCTGTTCAGGTAAAATCCAAAAATGTTTTTTTTGAGAATAAACTTTTTAAAATTATATAAACTTTACAATATTTCTCTTAAGTAATTAATATCGTTATTTCTTAATTAATTTTATCATCATTTATAAAAAGTAATTAATTATGGATATTTGACACTAATGATACATTTTTTAATAATAATTCAATTTTGGATTTAGTGTTTTATGTGAACAGGAATAATGTATGATTTTATTATTAATGCATTTAATATAATAAACATTAATATTTCTATTATTTAGACTGTATTAGAAACTTCATTGGTTGTTATCAATAATATTCGTCATAATAATTCAAATAACTATATAGTTTTATTTACTAGCTTTTTAAATGATATTCAAAGTTTTTCTAAATATTTGAATGAAACATTTAAAAGTAAATCAATGAAGGAAAATGAATTTTTTACAACTTTGATACAACTAGATTCAGGTAAGTTTAATTGTATAGTCTATTATTGGTATGTTTGAATTATAATTACATTCATAAAAAATTATGCTTAAATTTTAGTTATAGTAGGATATGCTAGAAATTTTCAATTCAACAGACCTATTCGTCTGAGTGAATTGGAAATGTACTATTAATCTTAGTACTATTTTATTATTAAAAATAAATATATCTTAGTAAAAATAATACTTCACAGTCCTGCATCATGCTAAAAGAAGGAATTTTTTTTTTTTTTTTATCAAATGAACTCGGTTTTAAGTATTTAAATAAAATAAACTTAATAATTTCTCCAAATCTTAGTTTTAAAATTTATGACACTCTTCAGATATATTACTGCATAAAAAGCTGTAGATAATTAGCTTTATGAGATATACAATGCTTTAGACATTATTTTATTATTTTATTTATAAAGTTTGTTAATCCATTTTCCTCTGTGGATTGAAGTAGAGAGGGGATATGGAGGGATGGTATCCATCTTCCTTTTATAATTTACATTTTTCATCCCTTTACTGATTTGTCCAAAATAATACATCTCTCTTACTATTATACAATGTGCATGAAGCTTATTAATTTATATCAGTGATTTTTTTTTTTACAAATTTTAAAATTATATTGTTATAATTATTTTAATTAAATTTCCTTAAATTAATGTACAATATGATGGATATTAACTTGTTTTAAATATCAATAGTATATTCTTTAAATTAAGATAATTAAAATTAACCAACATTATTGTATATTGTTTAACATTTAATTTGTTAACCAACAATATTAATGAATTAAAACAATAATAGAGGGCACCTCTCCATTTATTATGAGAGCCACATCAACTACTGATTGTGCTCTAGTCAAATTTTATTATATATTAATAATGCATAATCTATTTTTATAAATTTCAGCATTAAAAGAATGCAATGCATGTTTGATTTGCACAAAAAATGATATTTGTAAAAAAAATACAAATACCATAGATAAAATGCTTAAAAGATGTGATTATATCATAAAAAAATTGAAATATGTTCAATCTTCATTAATTAAGTGGATCATGAATAATAGTGGTATGTAATGAATAAATTAAAAAAATGTTTCATCATATTTAATCGAACAAGCAAATTTTTTTTAACACTTATTGTTGAAACTTATCATTTGATGTACAATCATATAATCTCAATATTATAATACAATATAAGGTATTATTTTTTTACTGCACCATTTTTATTAAAAATACAATCATGTAAATATATGAGGGGGTACCCAAAAAATTCTAAATGAAGTTGCTTCTTTCGTATTTTTTGTAGTACGCGATTCTGCCGCTAGTGGTTTGTTCGACCACGCCTTTTCAGTCAGTGTGACAAACGTCGTTAATGTTGTTAGTCGTGTATATCTGTAGTTATTTCGCAAAAGCTGTTTTATTTAGCTGTAGTTTTTCTTCATGGAAAAATGTCATGAGCAGCAAACGGCTTTAAAGCTTTGCTTTCTGTTTGGAAAAAAAGCATCGGAAACCGTTCAAATGTTAAAGACTACTTATTAGAATGACACTTTGTGTCAAGCTAAAGTTAACACGTGGTTCACCCGGACGAAAAAGTCCAAAAAATCAATGAATTCATGCATGAAGATCGACGACATACTTTTGAGGATCTCGAAGAGTTGTTGTGAGTTGGAGCTCAGTTCAGCTCATTTTATTGGAGAATTTTGGGCGTGTCATGTGTCGCTGCAAACTTCGTACTATGGCTCTTGACTGATTAACAGAAAAAGTTGAAGAGATAAACGATGGAGGCGTTTGCAGATATCAAAGTAGATGAGTTTAAAAAATGTTTCGAACAAAGGCAGAAGAGATTAGACAAGTGTATTGCCGCTAATGTAGAGTATTTTGAAGGATTTATATACAAAAGCATAAATACACTCTTCAAAAACAATTTTTGTGGACATTTTTGGGTATCTCCTCGTATATTTAATGACAGTAATAATAAAATTAATGAATTCCTGCGTCAGTGCGATGATATATAAAGCTTGATATACTGTAATTAAATTTCATTTGGTGATTTGTGGCAGTCTAATTTACAGAAATCTTGAATATTTGTAAATCTGATAAATAAAAGTTCACATTATTATGTACCATTTTATAAATATACTTTCTGAAATTATTTATATGGAAACATAGTACTAAATCTAATTACTTTTTGTTTTTTAATGTACACTTAAATCTTAATCTATAAAAAAATGAAGTATTATGTTTTAGCTACAGCATCAAACATAACATACATTTTATCAAAAACAGCACAACCTATTAATAATGTGCAGTATAATGTTTGTGACAGTAACAATGATGCTTTAGAATATCTACTATCTACAAACGAATTTCATTCATCATTTTATAAATTATCAGAGATAAAATCCATAAAAACTAATTGTAAACAGATAAACTATTTAAATTATATGAATGATGATACTAACATGGGAAATACTGTAATGGATCTTACAAGTAAATTATGATACCTTTCTAATTGGGAATAATATCTAATGATTTATTATTATTTTTAGGCATTTTAGATAACTTAATTGAAACATTTAATCCTGATGATAATGATCATATCATCGAAAATATATGGAGCACATGATATATATATATATTTTTATACATATAACTTAAGTTATTTTTTAATTAATTTTAAAACAAGTGTAACATTAAGTATAATTTAAATTTGTTTCATTATTAAAATTAATAATTAAAAACTAATGGAAAGCAAGTTGACAACATTATGATGGCATCAGTTTCAGTATTATTTTTCATACATCCTAAAAGCTTGTTGCAAATATCTATAAACTGTTTTTTAAAAATAAATACAATAATAAAAGATAATTGCGGAGCTATAATAACACTTTTTTTTTTTTTTTTCTTGACCGGCATAAGTGCGGACCGCCCTGGAACTACCGTTAGGTATTACTTCAGGCTGTCCACGCTGTGTCTAAAACTCACACTACTACGTTGTGAATCAGCCCGAAATTAATCAAGATGAATTTTTTCAACTTTCAAAAATCGAGCTGATTCACAACGTGGTGTGGCTACCCCCCTTTAGCCGGATCCCGGAGTTGGATCCGTTGCCCGTGTTGCACCACGTAGAGGTGGGGGGGCAAATATAATTCACAAAAACATAAACACGAATACCTAAGGCGCTGGCCTAAATCAGCGCCAGCTATAATAACACTATTACAATATAAAAAAAAAAAGAATTATTTATGTATTAATATTTTTAATTTTAAATAAAATATGTAGATGGTTGGTAGTATTGTGAAAGCATTTTCCATTCAGTTCTATTTTATTATGGGGATAAAATAAGGACATAGTTTTTATCTTGCGCAATACATTTTTAAGTGTTTTAAAATAATTTTTATTTTTTTTCTTATAGTTTTGTATTAAATATTATATTGTACAAGTTATTTATTTTCATTAATCGAACTGAAATGAATGAAAATAAATTTAATTTTAATCTTTTAGAAGAATTCGTTAAAAAATTGGTGAATTGGTTATTTTTAATTATTTAAAAATACGATTCAACTAAATAGTACAGTTGACTCAACATAGGAGATACATAGTAAATGTTGGGAACTGACTAGCTTTAATGACTGGCATAAATTGCTTCAATGTGATTGTGAATAAAGAATGTCAAGGAAAAAGTTTTGAGGGGTGGGTACTGCAATCCTATATTACTCCCTTAATATACTAAAGATTCGAATTCGTTAAAAATCTTCCTTCATAATATCTTCTTATAGTAGTTTTTATATCCTTAAAGAATATTACGATTTTTATACCAAAATAGTACTTTTTTTTTTAATTTTGCCGCTATTCCTTTTCTAGATAGATTAACCATATGCGTTTGGCATACACTGTGTTTTTCCTAAAATATTTGACCGTCGCGCAAGTAAACATTACAAACTGATAAATGGAGTATCAAGTTAAAACATGTGCCATTCAGTAGAGTATTCTTTGTGAACTGAACCTATACAAATAATTTGGTACTATGAGTTGATATATTTAATAATTTATTTTGGATTATTTTGTTGAAGAATATTATTACCACAATGTAGTTATTTTAACTATAGCTAAATTTTATATTATAAAAATATATTTCAATTAAAGATCTTACTAAAATTTTGTAAAAAGTATTTGTATGATGAGAGCGCTTAACCATTTGTTTAAAAATTAGCCATACCAAAAATGTTTTAAAAATCACGTGTACTTTATAAAATTATTCAGGAGGGAGGAAATAAGATTTAGTATCACAACATTTTCAACCATACGCCTATACAATGATTTAATTATTAAAAATAATAAACAATCCAAAAAACGATACATTCCACATGTTTCTATGTTAACAGTAATCGCTGATATCTTCTCAACATTTTGTTCTAGTTCATTTCATAAACAATACTCAAATGGTATGTTTCAACTTGACACAAATAATAAAAAATAAGATATAATTTAGTCTAAGAATGTATATTTTATAAAAAAATTTATTAACGAAATCCTTTTGAACAATTAAAATTTCGTGTTAATTAACAATTAAGAGATATAACTCTTAAAACACAAATTATGAGTTTACGTTTATATCTGTCTCACCTGTATATATAAGGGTGCCCCTTATTTTTAAAATTTAGGAAATTTTTCGGGCTCATCTCACCAAATTTGTGTGTATATATATAAAAAGTGGCTACAAAAAATTTCAACCCGATCAGATAAGTTTAACCCATGCCGACTTGGGGGTTGAAAATTTGCCAAAAATGGTAGTTTTTTAGTTTTTAGCAATTAACTCATAAATTAGAGTTCTCAAAATAATTATAGAAACTAAATTGTACATCTAATTGTTTTGTATAAATTAAGTTTTAAAAGTTTTTCTTCTAAATCCATTAGTTTTTCAGAAAAATGTCAAAATACGTAAGATTTCGTAAAATTGTCGAAATTGGCATATTTACAAATATTTCATCATTTCTGATGAACCTAATATTTTATACAAAATATGTTTAAAATTGAATTTTACAAAATAAAAGTAATAGGTAAAAATTTCATTAAAGGGTCATTCCATGTGAAATCACCGTAAAAAACGATACAAAAAAAATTATAAATCGATTCAAATATGATATGGTTTAAAAGAACATTACTAAAAGTTTCTGAAAAGAAAAAAAAATTTTTGACCTTCAAATTTTGCTATTAAAATACTGCAAAATTTCGATGTTCAAAAAAATTCAAAATTTATAAACTTAAGAATGAAATTGAAGTACTATTTAATATGAGGAAAACAGTGCTAGTTCCACAGTGATAGCTTATTTGGATGTGAAGTTATAGGCTCTAGAACATAGGTTGTTTTTTCATGTTTTTAATTATAAAAGCTAAAATGCGCTGTCTAGTCAAAAAAAAAAAAAAATATATTATTTTTGTTGTCAATGACCTTTAAGAAGTCTATGATATAAATTTCTGAACTATACCAACACACACATTTGGTGATTTCACATGGAATGACCCTGAACCGATCATTTATTGCTATAGTTGTGATAGCTTGATCATATAACGATTTTTACTAAATATATGAGTTTTATTGCTAGATTCTGTTAATTATTATCTGGTATATGATAAATAAGGTACACTTTACGCAAAGTTTACTTTATTTACCAAATGATATAATTATATATGTTTGGTTTAAATTGTCTATTCAATTATAAATTGATGTATTTGATTGTCTTAAATACATAAGTACACTTATTTCTCAATATTATTGTATAAATTAAAAAAAAAATTTTACATAAAATATAAAATGTTAAATTCAAAATAAGAAGAATTTCCAAAATTTAAAAATAATATATATATATGTGTGTGTGTGTGTTACCCAAAATAAATGGACAATGAAACTGAAGCTCAACTTGGACCTATCAATGTAGTACCGCCTAGCGTAAAATGAGAAATATGTATCACATAAATTTTTTAGATATTGTTGTATACTTAATTTTATTAGTTTTAAAATTACTAAAATTTAGCTACCCTAAACGGGCCCTAAAAAACGTTTTAATTTTAAAATACTTTCTCAAGGTCCTACAAAAAACAGCTCAAGTACAAAGTAGAAAAGAACCCTTGGTATTGCTATGAAAGTTGTAACTACCAACACCAGCAAGAACAGAACGAAGAAATTAAGATCGACTTGTCAGCTCAATAATATTTGATTGTATTAAAACATATTTTTAAATTATTAATATTTTTAATTAATCTCCGTCCGTTTTCTAAAATAAATGCAAAGATTATATAAATATAAAAGTGGTATCACTGTTATCGTGATACCGAGTTGTAGCCGCATAACCTACTTTATTTTTATTCTACTAAAGTTAAGATAGATATTAGAGTTACCTATATATGTGTACGATTTTATATTCTCAAATTTTGAACAATTCTGTTTTAATGACTGATTTTTATAGAACTATGTGTTTGCTACATGTTCCCTAAGAATATACGTTATATACTGTCAAACAATGTGTGAATGTGAAACATGTACAGAACTTTCGAAACTGTTGAACCCATGTATACAATTAATAAATCTTGTTTATTATATTAGTATATGTATTCTAAGATATTATTTATTATTTTTAGATAAAGATTCTAGCGAGAAACATGATTCGAGTTGTGTTATTTTACCTAAGTCTGAAGTTAACCAGTTGATTATATTTGTTCAAGCTTTTATGCAAAGGTAAATATGACATTTTTAAAAATATTTTCATTAGAATAAATTTGATTTATTTTCTATAGACAATGTCTTGGAGGATTTCAAGATAGGAAACATTATGACCAGTTTCAATGGATTACACAGTGTTTTGTTTTGTTGATGACTAACTTATTAAAAGCATATAAAGGAGAAAATCGAATAATTTATCCACTTCGTGATGACAATGATAATGATGATGATGATGGTGATGATGATGATGTTGATGATGATGATGATAGTAATAAATGGGAAAACTTATTAAGTAATGTTAAAGAAGAAGGTATTATCACATTTTATTTTACAATAAATGTATTTATATTTATAATTATGTCATAGTTATACTTTTTTTGCAAAGCTCAATTTCATTCATTAAAGTAATTCAACTTGGAATATTTATATATATATATATATTAAGATATATCAATATTAATTTAATCAAAGATGCAAAATTAAATGATGAACTCTTGAACATATAATAATATGATGTACTCTCTATTATAGAGTTACAATGGACAGTAGCAGAAATAGAAAAACCATTACACCTTTTAACCAAAGTGTTTTTAATGAATTATCCATTATATGTAGCAGTCAAACAGTATCCACATTACAAAGCAGAAGAAGTAACACAACAAGAGGCATCAACTATGAATCATTACTGTGATGTTCAAGAAATCGATATGCCATTATTACTATTGAGAAATGTCAATATGTTTTGCAGGTATTCATTTAACTTTTAATTAATTATATATTTATTGATTTTTCTAAAAATTCAATTTATTTAGGGTTGGTGGTATGGAAGCAGTTATGTCTTGTTTTGACTATGAAATTTTACCCTTGACAATGGCAAATCCAATTGTAATATTAGCTTGCAATGTAAAACTGTGGCTAAATTATCATACAAATGTTCATGTATTTGCTCCATTGCGGTCTAAAGTTTTAAGGTTTATGTGTAATTTAACTGATAAAGAATTACGAACACCGGCTGCTAAAACTATGGCTGGTAAAAATTTTGTTCATAATATTTCTAATTTATTTTTTCAATATTGGTTTGATATTTTCAAAATATTTTTTTAAAGTTGCTTAATTAGTCAGTATTCAAGTTAGTTAATTAATAAGGTTTATCAATATTAATTTATTAATACATAAATTTAAAGAATTTATATGAATACCTGTAAGTCAAAAAACACTATTTTAGAAATGTTTTTAAATGATTTTTGTATTTGGCATGTGTTTTCAATGGAAACACATTCCAAATTTTAATTCAATTGTATTTTTTAAAACTTTTTCTATTTAACACAATCAGTATTATTCTTTAGTACTACCTATTTATTGTTTCAGATTTTATGTGGAGTTCAAACAAAGATGGCCATACTTCTAATTTTGACAAAGATGGTCTTGAGCTAGCATTTAAGTATTTTACATCACCAACTTTAACAATGAGGCTAGCTGGAATTTCTCAAATTAACAGTCATATAGGATCTTTAAATGAATTAGTACATGTAACTGCAGCAACATTATCAACTTCATCACAATCAAATGATATGATTACTATTGAACAAATTGGACATAATTTAGCTACATGGCTTGTACATCGTAAAATTATATCACACATATTTGGACCTAATTTACATGTAGAAGTACGCATAAACAAAATTTTTAATATTAAATTTAATATAGAGTCATACTGTAACACTCGCATAACCTAAGTTGTTAAATTTTAGATAAGCTAAGTGAGAAGGTATTAATTTTATCATTGTGTGTTTTTTCAAATTTTTTAAATATAATTGGATTTTATTCAAATTTAATAATAACAGGGATCTGATTAATTAATTTTTTTTCTTTTAACTTTTTAATGTTACTACATTAATATGTTTAACATTAAAAGGGTTTGAAATATAATATATAAATATTATGTATACATGACAGTTAATGTTTTTCTGTCCTGGATAATAACATACATTGTTACATCTTCTATAAAAAAATGTATTTGTTAGACTCATATTTCATACAAATATTAACTACAAAAAATAAGGTCACAACAATATATATANAAGGAAAAAATAAGATTGGTTTTTTTTTACTTATAAAATAAAAGTTAAGTTTTTTTTATTAATAATTTTTGTTTAAACTAATGTTTTACTGATGTTATAATTCAGGTTATAAAACAATGTAGTATAACACTCAATTTTCTTGCGTCAGAAGGGAAAATTACTAATGAACACATAGACACAATTTGGCAAGCTGCTCAATTAAAACATTGCAGTAAACAAGTATTTGATCTTCTCCCTGGTTTTATTAAACATTTGGAACCAGGTCCTGTATTACACTTGTATCATTTATTAAGAAAATTAGAACCTAAAGAACATACTGAACAAGTAAATATATTTTTGTTTATTTTTATTATTTTTTAAATACAATTTATTGATTAAAAAAAATTTTAAATTGAATAATAAAATTCATCTATTTTGATGGTAAAAATATATTAAATCCTTTCATGAAAAATGTTTTTACCTTAGTACTTTGTATTGTTTATTATTCTTGGTATCCAATGAATACTATTTCATGGTGGTGAATTGGTATTCAATAAATGTTATTGTGTATAAGTAATGTTTAATTTTTACTAAGTTCTAGTTTTGTGCGAATTCTAAATTCTGTTGATTAATTATGTTGCTCACCTTATGTTACTGCTGTTTTATTATTTATTTAATATGATGTATAAAAATTAAAAACTGTATGCTATAAATAATTTTGTTCATAACTATTAAGATATTATAATGTTATAGTTAATACTATTAATTTTATTTGAGTTCCTATCTACAAAATATACTATATTTGAATTATATATTATTCTGAGTTTTTATCTTTAGAGTTTATTTTTGGCATCAGCTCTTACCAAATTTATTTGGTCAAGTATGGCTACAACTGGAAAGTGTCATGAGTTCTCTATTCCTAAAATGTCAAGAATAGTTAACACTCGGGATAGTCATCGTATTATTCGTTCAAATGATATGAGTACATCAGAAAATAGTGCTAGTCTTAATAGTAATTCTGATGGAGAAACTAGTGAAGAACGAAGTGATTTAAGTGATGGACCAACACCTAGAAAAAAATTGAAGAAAGGAAATATATTTGTGTATTCTGATAATGGTAAAAATTTTATATAATTTATTTAAATTAAACTTTTTGGTTATTATAATAATTTTTCTGTAGAAGAAGCTAAAATTTTTGAAGAATTAAGTAATGATTATGAATTTAACGAAAAAGAAATCATTAGACCTTCAAAACCACTAGGAATGTGTAAAATTATGCGATGTGTTAGAAAAAAAACTATTAGAGACACAAGAATGAGAGTTACAAAACCATGTAATTCAAGTGATGATGATTCTGACAAAATACAATTGAATCACTGCAAATTAGTGAAAGAAAACAAACTTCGAAAGTCTAGAGGAAAACTTAACCGTAAATATTTATAATAAGTTCATTATACTTTAACAATTTTTTATAGCTAGAAAATGATAAAAATAAGGTTAAGATGGAAATTAAAAATTAAACTTGAATACCAAAAATTCTAATTAATTTGTAACATTTACAGTCTGTATAAATTTAAAAATAAAATTTTGTTACATATTTTTAGATATAATAATTTTTAATTCTAATGTCAATATGCTTATTAGAATTAAAATAAAAATCAATACAAAATAAATAAGTTAACTAAAATTATTTTATAAAAATTTTTTATTTATTTATAAATTTTCATTTTTTATTTTCTAGCCTTAATATAGGTTTTGTTAGTGATTAGTACAGTTTTTAATCTTTTCAAAAATTTGTTGCATTTATTTTATTTACTTTACTAATTATGTATGTTTATAGATAAAAAAATGTGTAATCTTAAAATGAGGTGTTTAACTACTGGTTGTACAGAAGATGAGTCTGAGTCTGAAGGTGAGGATGAAGATGATGATGATGATGATGATGAAGAAGAAGAAGATGATGATGATGATGATGATGATGATGAAGATGATGATATTGAAGATGAAGATAGTGAATCTATGGAAGCTATGGAAATTGGTATATCTCCTATTGATCCCACTTCAGATCAGCAAGTACCATCTACATTAATAAATAGACAAATGTTGGAAGATTACAGTGGGGATGAAAATAGTATGTCATCGCGAATGTCGAATAAGTCTGATAAAAATATGGCTGATTTTGATGGAGAAGATTCTGGTTGTGATGAGGAACTCTTACAATTAGCTGCTAGAGCACAAACACATTTATCACCACAACAATTAAACCATATGGCTTTTCATTCTAATTTTCAATCTAGCAAATGTGTACATCCTAGTACTCATAGTATTACATCTACATTATCAAATCAGTTTAATATTGAAAATGTTTGCAAACCGGGTTCAACACTTCTGTGGGATTTATTACAGGATGAAAATATAGTAATATTTCAATTATTCAATATATTAAATAGTGTATAATAAATATCAAATTATATTTTTAGACATTATTAGGAGAGTCTTTGGCATTAGAAGCTGAAAAAGCTCTATTTAATTTAGTGTGCTTTAACACTGATCGTGCAATACGAATGAAATTTATTGAAGGCTGTCTAGATAATATTCAAAAAAATAAGTATGAATAATTTTTATTTTAAATTTAAAACATTAGGTGAATGTTAAGAACGAAATATTAAAAAAAAAAAATAATGTTGACATTAAATTATAATAGTTATATATTAATTTGAATATTCCACTGCTTAGCTATTTAGAATATTTTACTATTTATTTGATATTAAAAATATATTTTATATTTTTAATATTATAAGACTTCATTTTTTTTAAATTAAAAATGATTTTTTGAAGAAATTTTAACTTAATAACAGCACATGTATATTTAAGAACAATGCATTTGCTAATTACATAAAAGAAGTTGCTCAGAATGTAAAATTACAAGGTTATTGTAGTAGTTTTGTAAGCTAATATATTAGAGTTAGAATCATTTTTTTTTAGTTTATACATCTTTCACATAGAGCAAGTTTTACATAAAGCAAAATGGTGATTTAATATGTGTTAGAAACTTTTGAGAAACTGTTAACTTAATTTAGAGTAATATGATTTTTTTTTAATTTGCTGTAAAATATGTGTTAACAATTTATTTATGCTTTTTTTGAGCTTAATTGTCTTTTTATCTCCGGGTAGGTAATTAGTTTGTATGACAGTACAAATTATTAAAAAAAAAATGTTCAGAGAATCAAAAATAAAACCAAATAATAGTCAATAAATTTATAAAAATGAAGGGTTTGGCACAACAACCAGATAAGTCCATATTTTTTTTTATTTTTCAAAGGAACTAATTTTATTAAACATTTTTTATAAAAGCAATTTTAAACTGTTTTTCCCAAATCAAATAATTTAATTCTTCACAAATAGGATTATAGAACTCGTTTATGTACTGAAGAATTATATAGAACTATCATTTATTTAAAATTCACAAAAGAATTTTTTCTGAAATGGACTTGTTTGGTTATTGCACTAAGCTCTTGCAATTAAAAATAAACCTTACATGATTTAATCTTTGTATATAAAATAATATACATTAATAAAAAAATGTATGCTTTAGTTCTTGTCAATATACTATGTTTATTGTTTTTTGTCTGTAATTTAGTTGTACTTTTAGTGATATCTGTGCATAATTTCACATTAAAATATTCCTTAATATTTAAGATAGGCTTAAAGTGAATTCTGTGATTTTTACTATGTCTAAATTTATTGAACAAAGAAGTTGAATTAAATTTTGTTTTTGGAATAGAATTTAGGCTACAAAAATATTGAGGGTACTACAGAAAGCTTTTAGGAATCTGACTTTGTCTTTATATATTATTTATAAGTGTTAAAATGAGTTTATGGCCAGCTGCGAGAGTGTTGCAAAGAATGTGATTTCAAATCAGCCAAAAACTGTTCGCAAAAATAAGCCGGAGTTATGGCAAAACAACTCTTGGATTTTGCATCAGGATATACCCCTAATTTAGTTTTGCATGACTTCTTGCTATTCAACAAACTCAAGAGTCTGTCACAGGGCCACTGTTTTGAATATAATTGAGATAATTGATTGATCATTAAGGAGATTAAACCCAAATCATAAGGCTCTGAAGGCCATTCTAAAGGAAGACTTTGCAAAGTGTTATGATGACTGGAAAATTCATTGGCTTAATTATATTGTAATAGAAGGGCATTACTTTGAAGGGGTTGAAATAGATTTGGAAGATTAAATAAAAATTTTGAAAATATAAAAAAATTCAGTATTCAATTTGATTACAATAATATAAATTAAAAAAAAATTTAGCCAATAGTAACTTAGTTACTTACAAAGTTACTATTGGCTAGTAGATACTTATGAAAATTAATTTTTTTTTTTAATGAAACCTTGATTTTCAAGTACTATAAATTATTTTAATACTTATCTTTTAAATTTATTGTTTTTAGGGCTGTGGTCATATCTTTACGATTATTACCAAAACTATTTGCGTCATTCCATCAATTTCGTGGTGCATCATTATCCAATTTAAATGTTGGTATGGACACTCGTCAGGTGACACTTTGGGCAGTTAAACATCATAGTATGATTGATAGAGTATTTAATAACTTTCGAGAATATTGTAAACAATATGCTGATAATAACTTTGAAGATACTGGATTTTATACCCATCAAACACATATAGAAGCAAGATTACAATTTTTAACTCACATATATTCCTCTATTGGGCTTCCTGATAGTATTAAGTAATGATAATTATAATTTTAATAATATATTTCAAATAAATTATTTTGCAATTTAAATTTTTTTAGATTAACTATTGATGAATTAGATACACTGTGGGATGGTTTAGTGAATGATGAAGTTTGTAAGGATGAACTTTTTAATTGGCTATTACGTCAAGTCCGTTGTAGAGAACAACATACATTTAATGTGGAAACTTTAACTCACTTATACTGCGAAAAATTACTGTCATTAGCTCCAGAAAATTATACTATGATAGCATTAAGTTTATTTACTCAATTATGTAACATGGCTCAGCAACAAGTATCTAGTGAATTTTTGATGTTAGCCAGAAATGGCCATGCTGCTGCTATGGAACATTTATCAAAAATTGCTTTGAAAGCTTCAAATAATGGTCTTTATAATAATAATTTAATCTTTATATAGATAATTAGAATATTTTTTCATTTTAGATGTTAGTATGGCTGCTATACAATACATGAATAGTTACTATATGATGAACTTACAACTTGACAAAGAAGATAAGTTTATTAGTGAATGTGTTGCTAATTTATCAACTGCTGTAGATAAGCTTAATGATATTGAGGAATCTAGTCTTCTTTATATACAACGTGCTTTGGTTTTACTAAAAACTCATTTGGAAACATTCAAGAGAAAATATGCATATCATTTAAGAAGATGGACTTTAGAAGGTCATGGAATTATGAGTCATGTAATTCAAAATGAAAAGAATGTTTCCACTATTAGATTAAACATAAACCCTGCTATGCTAGATGAAAAGCTAACTCTAGATATGCCTAGTACGGACTATATAGCTGATATGCGAGCTGAAATAGCTCATTGGTGGGAGAATCAGCATGACATTTTAACAGCTCGTAAACTACCTACAGATGGTAATATTAGAATGATTGCATTAGGCCAAGAAATAACGTCAGATTTTGATGAAAAAACTATACAAGAAACTGGACTAAAAGATAACCAAGTAATATATTTTAATTAATTTTTTTTAATATGTGAATAAATAAAAAAATCGAACAAGCGTAAACAAATATTCTTTAAAATTACATTTATACTTTAAAATATTTTAAGTAATGTTTTAATTATTTTACAATGTAATATATCTTAACACTTAAAACAATGTATTTTTTTTAGATAATTTATTTATCTTTAAGTACATCACGCAAGAAGAAATTTGGCGATCAAGATTTACCTGGTTCCATGCAAACAATTCCATCTAAAGAAAGTTCACCTACATTACTTCTTTTAAGGCCTAAAAATTTTGAAGTGTTATTTCGCCTTATGCATACACTGGGATCAATGAAATCATTTGATAATGAAGGGGTGATTTTATAATAATAAATATTTTTAGTATAATATAATTAATTATTTATGTTTTAGAAAGAAACTATGCATTCTAAAGCTCAAGTGTTATCAAGAAATGTTTGGGATATATTGACTATGTTGCCTACTAGTCCTACTATGTTAGAATGTTTTAGGCATTTTCCAACTCGTGAATCAAAAGAAAATTGTAAAATATGGTTGGAAAAAGATTTAGATTCATCGAATTTACAAAAATTAATGTATTCATTATATATCATTGAATCATTATTGCATCACACAAGTGACAAAGTAGTTTATGATGATAGTGATGAGCTTGAAGTATGTTAAATGATTAATTAAAATAATATTTACCTAATTTTAATTAATTGAGTTCTGTATAAATTCTATAGAGTTCAACTAATGGAAAAGCTAAAACATGGGGAGAATGTTTTATTGAAAAAGGTGGTTTGGAGCATCTTTTTACTATTCTCATGTCTGGTAATTTGAAATTTTGTTTAAATAAATATTTTCTATTTGAAAAAAATTTAAGCTAATCAATTTATAAAGTATTGTATTTAATAATATTTCTATAGTTCTAATGTGTAACAAATTTTTAAAAAAGAAAGTAACAAAAATGTTCAGGGATTTAAAGTTATAGAATTTGTCCATACAAACTGCGTGAAGAATTGTATATTTATAATTTAAATAAAAAGAGAGAACAGCTTTGAATACATTTTTTTTTTGGGGGAAATTTTAAAATACATTATGTTTATAAAATGTAAAAACATGTTTTTTTTTCTTTAAAAAAAAATTAACTTATCTCAGGATTAATGATTTGAGTTTAAGCAGTTTTGAATAAGATAGATGTTATATTTTTCCTTAAGTGAATATTCTATAATATGAATAAACCCCTTCATACCTGACTTTTTCATTTTTAGTTAAAATGTGTCAAAATAATTTTTATTTATGAGTGACATTAAGATAGGCTAAACAAAGATTTTCTGAGAAATATATTTTCAATTCAATTCAATTAATAATTAAGCAAAAACAAATAAAATAAAAAAATGCTTACCTATTAAAGTTTGATTTTAAAAACAGTATAATCTGTTCTTTAAATTTCATGGTTACTCTAAGTCTGGAAAACCTTTAAATGTCAGGGCATTTTTAAATAATCAGGAAAAATATTAAAATGGTATGAATATTGTGATTTTGACTGAAATTGTTAAAATTTATATACTATAAAAATACTGATCATATTTCTTATTATGTATTATTTATTGTGACCAGGCAGGGGGACAGTGTAGTAATTTGAATGTTCAATCCCCTCCTCACATTTTTTAATATTTTTATTAGTAAAATATTATGATAAAAATAAAATAAAATGGATTGATTTGGTTAACATTATCTTTCATGTTTTATATAAATTTGTTCTTATACAATTAATTTATTTTAATTTGTATGTTGAATATTCTGTAAAAACTTAAATTTTTTATGTAGGTACTCTTCAAGGTAATAGTGAATGGCATCAAGATTGTTTAGCTCACTTGCTTAAATTGTTATGTCAGTTAGGTGTATCTCCTAATGACAGAAAACAACTTGATCAATTTGAAGGTTTAGGTTTTGATCCATATTTCCGTTCTAGAAAAGCAAACATGAAAAAACAAACTAACCTAGTTGTTCCCAAACTAAATCAAGTAATTATAATATACTCATATTTTATCAGCTACTTGATTTTCTACATTTTTAATATTTTCTTAGTATTTTTGTTTCATTTTAGTGTTCAAATTGGAAAAAATTAAGTAAAGTAAAAAACAAAGTATGTTTCATTATGAAGCTTAAACTCTTTTCACTTTTATACCATATTATATATGCAACATTAAACATTTTTCTATAATTGAAATTACTTTTTTTAGCATTTATTCTTTAAAATTGTATTTTATAAATTCAAAAATAATTTCAATTATGTAGAACAACTTCAACCTCTTGTGACCCTCAGTTTGAGCACTACTATAGTTAGATCTAATAGTATTATTACATTAAATGTTAACAAAATTTTTTACAATCATTAAATTTTTTGTTATTTTTTAGGAGATGTTGAAATTAATGAAAATTGATTTGGTTATTCCAAGACTGATGAGTATTTTAAATGAATTATCTTTTCCTCGTTATCCAAAAGAAATAAAAACTGGATTTTGGGGACGAGCACAAGTTATTCATTTTTTAATGACTTTAGTGCTTTCATGGTCTCATAGTATTAATGGTATTTGTGAAGCACTTTTAGAATCAAACCAATTTTCTATGTGGCTATGCAATTTAGTACTTGAAGATCCTGATCCATTAGTTAGACATGAAATCTGTGTTGCTTTGTATAGATTGTGTGCTGTAACTCCAGCTAATCGTACTGCCGCTACATTACTTTTATCTCAATTAATAAAGTTCCTAGATAAAGCGGAATGTATGAAACCACAAATAAGAGAAGAAGTTAGTTGTATTCAACTTTTTTTTATAATTAACTGTTAAAATTTATTGTAATTTTTAGAATTTATTGAAAATTACTGATGAAGAAAAACTCCTTTATGGACATGCTTGTCGAGACTATTTTTGGCTAATGTGTCGGCTTGTTAATTGTTTGTCAAATGATATAATTCAAGGTATGATTTTATTTTAAAAATTAGGTTATTAATTCATTTAATTTATTAATTCTTTGTTTTATTATTTTTATAGAGAGTTTAAAAAGTCCTTCTGAATGTATTATTAACATTGAAGCTTTGGCTGTTCGTGTTTGGGAATCTATAGCTTCAAGGGACTTCATTGAAACAGATTATAGTGGACTTCAAGATGATGGCTTAATTGGGCTTCTTAATTTAATGTCAAATATTTTGGGTCACAAACCACCTTTCAAATTTAGTAAACATAGTCATAAAGTTATAGATACAGTAAGTATTTAGTAATATATAAATTAATTAATTAATTTTTCACATATTCAGTTTTATTTTTTGTTAAAATTTTAGGTATTTGAATTTTTATTTGCTTTACCTGATCCTCAAAATCGTCAATTGCCTAAATGTAAATCTGAAAGTGCTCGATCATCTGCTTATGACTTATTAGTTGAATTAGTTAAGGAAACACCAAACAATTATGAGTATTTATATGAAAAACTGTTAGAACAGCATAGCAATGGTTAGTATTTAATTTTTATTATTGACTATATTGAACTTTATTTAAAAATATTTTAGATTTTAACCGCCCTCCTTATTTTTGGGATTATTGGCCACATGATGATGGACGATCAAATTGTGGTTATGTTGGCTTAACAAACCTTGGAGCTACTTGTTATATGGCATCATGTATGCAACATTTATTCATGATGCCTCAGGCAAGACGATCAATATTAGAAGCTAAATGTGATGAATCTAATAAACACAATGCAATTTTAATAGAACTTAAAAGAATGTTTGCATATTTGTTGGTAAGATAATCAAAGAAAATTATAACCTTTATAATAATTAAAAAAAAAATTTTAAATCTATATCGAAGTTACAATATGATGTTTACATTAGACCGCATTATTTTAAGGAAAAGACTTGTTGTACCTATTTTAAAATAAAATGCTTAATATTTAAACAAATTTAAACTTTTGTTAAATTTTTTTTTGATCTTCAAGGCTAAGAAACTATATGTCAAATAAATAAAAACTTATTTTTAAAAAGAATATTAATTTGAACTACCGAAATGGTAATGGAAAAAATTTATTTTTCACTGAGCATAAGTTAACATTTATATTGCTGTTAAAAGATTTAAATCTCCATAAATAAAAATTTGTAATGTTTCGTAGACATTTTTAAAATTATTTTCCAAAAACTTCAAAATACAATTATTTTATCCTAAAATATACCTATCTAAGTATTGGTTGTTAACAAATACATTGAATTTTTACATTTGATATTTAAACATGTAGGCTAGTGCAAATTTTTTCATCTTGATTATTAATTGTGTTAAAAATTTTTAATAATAATTAACAGATTATTTTTTATTTTTAGAAAAAGAGGTAAAATGTTTATAAATTCATATGTGATTTTACATGCTATGTAGTAATAGACAACTATATATCATGTAAACTTTATAAATACTTATATCAGCCTAATCATTTTAATATTATAACAATGAAACAATTATTTTATTATTAAACTGTTTGTTGTATAAAAGGATGAACATTTTAAAATATAATTATAATTTTAATAGGAAAGTGAAAGAAAAACCTATAACCCACGTAGTTTTTGTAAAGTTTATACTATGGATCATCAACTTCTAAACACCGGAGAACAAAAAGATATGGCCGAGTTTTTTATTGATCTCGTATCCAAACTTGAAGAAATGACACCAGAACTTAAAACACTAGTAAAAACGTTGTTTGGTGGAGTTATTAGCAATAATGTAGTTTCATTGGTTAGTATTTTAATATTTTATTCTTGGTAATGTTGAAATTTCTTAAAAATCTAAGAAGTTTTTACTTTATATCATTATTTAAACATATATAATTTTACAAATAAAAATTTTTTTAAGATCAAATAATTTATAAATTATTAAAGTTTCATTGACCATATTATTATTTAACTATGACAATTTTGAATTTTATAAAATAATGTAAATTTAATTTCTAAAATTTGTAGCAATTCTTATAAACTTACTATTAAAAAGTATTAAATTAAAATCAAATCCCCTTTATACTTATCTGTATATTGACTTAAATTTAGTAATAAAAATGAATATTCTTAATTTATTTAAGTAATGTAAAATTCAATATAAAAATATGAATCATTTTTTCCACATTTGTTATACAAGGTGTATATTTAATGTAAGGTCTTCCTTTTATTTTTTTCTAATTAAATAAAATTTATGTATTAAGTTTGATACATTGTTGGAAAACATAAAAATTTAGCTATTTTTGCAAGTAATTCTCTCAAAAAAATTATTTTAAGTATTAACATGATTATTTATAAAATACTTGTCCAGAACTATACAAACACCTCTAATTTTTACTTGACAAAATCTTTTTAAATTAGCTTGAACTATAAAAGAAATAAGAAATAAAAAATTGTTAATTTTATCAAACTTTGAGGAAATAATGAATTTATTTCTTTAGGAACACTTATTTTTTATAATTATTTGTTAATTTTCATGCAAACAAGTAATAAAAATTAACTTTATAGGATTGTGATCATGTTAGTAGAACTTTAGAAGAATTTTATACTGTACGATGTCAAGTATCAGATATGAGAAATTTGTATGAATCACTTGATGAAGTTACTTTAAAAGATACTCTTGATGGTGATAATATGTATACTTGCTCTCAGTGTGAAAAGAAAGTTCGTGCTGAAAAAAGGTAAATACATGGAATATTTTTGTATTGTTAACATTTTCTTAATAATATTGAGTTGATATTAATAAGTTTAAATTTTCTAGGGCATGTTTTAAAAAGCTACCTCAAATTTTGTGTTTTAATACTATGAGGTATACATTTAATATGATTACCATGATGAAGGAAAAAGTTAACACTCATTTTTCATTTCCTATGATACTTGACATGTCGGGATATGTTGAAAAACATTTAATGCCTCAACACTACTTAGAAGAAAAGGAAATGAATGAAAATGATGGAACTGATAGACAAGAAGAAAATTATCAGTATGAACTAATTGGTGTCACAGTTCATACTGGTACAGCTGATGGTGGTCATTATTACAGCTTTATTCGTAACCGTGAGCGAACAAATAGATCGCAAACTCCGAGTACTGATCAGTGGTATTTATTTAATGATGCTGAAGTTAAACTATTTGATGCAAGTCAATTGGCAGCAGAATGCTTTGGTGGAGAAATGACTGTATTTATTTAAATTTAGAACATATTTTAAAAATAAAATGTTTAATATATTTTAATGCATTTTTTTTAGAGTAAAACATATGACTCTGTTACTGATAAGTATATGGACTTAAGTTTTGAAAAAACTAATAGTGCTTACATGTTATTTTATGAGTTAGTAAAACCAACAGATCCAGAAATAGAAGATCACAATTCTTATGAGAATCAAATGTCTCCTCCAATAAAATTAAGTAGTGAATTAGAAGGTTGGATATGGCAAGATAATCGACAATTTTTGCAAGATAAGAATATATTTGAGAGTGCATATTTTCAGTAAGAATATATTAATATATTATTTATTCATATTATATGATTTAATGGTGATTTTTATTGTAATATTTTGGCTCTTTTAGGTTCATGTGGCAAATATGTGCTTTTATTCCACATTCATTAGAAGACACTGAAGAATTAAGTGAATTAGCAACTAAACTGACAGCAGCATTTTTCTTAGAAACTTATATCCATGCTAAAGAACGTGTAAGTTTTTATTTTTTACAAACATTTTTTTTTAAGTTTAATTAGTCAAATGGTAACCTTTTTTTACATAGTCTACTATAATGCAATGGACTGAACTTTTAATTAAGCAGTTTAGTGCTTCACAATCTGGTTGTGAGTGGTTTCTTCAACAAATGGGTGATGATGGATGGTGGCCACTTAAAATTTTTGTAAAATGTTCTAATCAAGTGATACGTCAAACATTTCTTAAATTGTGTATGCATGCAATTCAATGTATTAGGTATTAAAATATTTATATTAATATATTCATAAATAAAACATTTTTATCTTTTTATATAAGAGGATAAGTTTAAAAATTATGCAATTAAATTATAAACTTGTTCAAAAGAAAAATAAAATATTATTTCATTAATATTTTTTTTATTTTAGACCATATGTTTGTTTTTTTAAAAATATATTCATTAGTGAAACTAAAACAGAAAACTTAAAATCTTGTGTATCATGTCTTACATCATTTATTCAGACTGTTGTGTCTTTAGTAAGTGTCTACATTTTTTTATAACTTAAATACTAATAAACAAGATAACAAAATATTTCTAGATGCAACAAAACATAAAAAATTTCATACGAAATATGACTGAATACTTTACATTATTACATGAATTCAGTAAATTAGGTGATGAAGAAAGTAAATTTTTGATATCAATACAATGTATTACAACTGTAGTAAATTTTTATTTGAGTCTTAAAGGACATGAACAAGTACATATTAATTTTAAATTAAATAAACAATTTATTATTATTCATATATGTATTTTAGAATGATATTTCTAACAATGGTATTGAATGTGAAGATGAAGATGAAGAAATAATTCCTTTGACAACTATTGATAGAAATAAACCACCATTATCATTAGAAAAATTAATAGCTCTTGTTGTTACTTTAATTGAAAAATCTAGAGGCATCGATGGTCAACTGGAACTTTCAGACAGTGATCTTTATGTTTTGCAAGGAATGAAAGTGAGTTTTGTAGATTAAATTTTGTATAGTATTTAGGTCAATTCAATGAATTGAAATTATCTAGGAATATTTTTTATGAATCAGTATTTAATATACAGGGTATTCAGTAAGTCAGGAAATGGGTTTCTATTGTTCTCATTGTTACAAACAATGAGAACAATAGAAACCCGTTTCCTGACTTACTGAACACCCTGTATATATTTTTATCATTTTTTGTATAAACATCCTGAATAATTTAATAAATGAAAACTTTGTTGATTATTTTTTACTTAAATTCATATGTATATTTGATATTAATATTTTATGAATGATATGTTAGTCTAAAAAAAACTTGAGATAATCTCAAGTCTTATAATCTCTTCAAATACCTAGACAATTGACACATTTAAAAAATGCCCTTATACTATTCAACATTGACAATGGGGAATTTTACAACTAAAAACTTAAATTCTTCAAATATTAGTAATATAGAATAGGGCACATTAATATAATTTAAAAAGTAATAAATAAACATATCAATATATAAAACTCTATAATGCCTATATAATATTTTTTATCTTAAAATTCACATATTACTGAGTTACATTAGTATTCATATTATTAAAGGATGTTTAAGAATTTAAAAAAAATTGATATAATTAAAGTTTGATTAGTGGTGGACTTAAAAAAATTTTTTTTACTGTTTTTGATGTTATGAAAATATTGTATATCGATTTATAACATAATATAATATTATTATTTGCTTTTAATATTTTTTTTCAGGGATTTCCTTTTATAATACAACAAATAAAAGACAATACAAATTTACATATGACAAAAAATATTATATTTTCGTTGTGTAGAAATGAATCAATACAAAAAAATTCTGTACTTGCTAATGAAATAATTTGCCAAATACTTAATAATATTCAAAAAAATGTTAACAATACAGAAGTATGTCTTATTATAAAACATGAAAATATTTTTATTAATTTTTAATTTTATAAAATAATATTCAATTATTATATTTTAATTAAAGATAGCTCAACCATTTTTCAAGATGTTAACTTTGCTATCTGAAGGAAGTGTTGGCGGTAATGGAGGACTACCGCCTTTCACAGAATTTATTTTGAAAAATTTATGGCAAAGTACTGAAAATGGTCCACAAGTAGCACTTGAATGGCTTAGTCTCCAAGTTCCACGAAATAAACAAGTTTCCGCATGGGTATTAAATGGAATGGATACATGGGTTGAACGTTATCTTATGGCTCATGGAAATGCTCGTGTTCGTTCTGGTTAGTGAAGATATGGAGTATTTTATATCTAAAAATATTTTTAGTGGAAATTTTCTAATGCAATTCTAGTTTTAGTATTCAGTTTATTTATTTATAATAAATAAAGGCAATAGTATCATCATGTACAAAAAATAAATACTTAATAAAACACTACTTTATAAAAAATAAAATTATAAAAAAATAGAACTACTACTTAAAGACTTATTTAAATTAAGGTTAGCATAGGTCCATATTAAAAAAGTAGCTCAAAAAGCCAATTGCAATTGGTGTAAATGATTTTTTTCCTTGTATTGCATCTCTAGATTAAAACTGTTACAACTCAAAAAAATTTTGAATTAAAAAATATTCGACAGAAATAAAATTTTTTTTCACATTCCTGGAACAAAAATTTTCTTTTTAGTTGCAATAGTTTTTATCTAGAGATGCGATATAATAATTTTGAACGTATTAGGTTTTTTATATAAAAATAATAGATCATACTGTAACTATGTTTTAATTATGTTATTAATAGTAGAATACATAGTTAATAACTAGTAATAATTTATCCCTTAATTATTTTATGAAAATATAAATTTCTTAATGTTCTATTATGAATAAAAAAAAACAGTATTGTAAGAACATTTATTACTATGTTCTTACCACTTATATTATAGACGTTTAATTTCTATTTTCTTAATTTGTAATACATATTAATTAACATAGAGGGAGATGCTGATGTGACAATTCTACTCGTCTGTAGCACAGAGCTACTGACTTCAAACTAACAAAGAGCAATTGTGTTTGAGTGGCCATTATAGACATAGTTTTCAATGCTATTACTCTTGTCATATTTATATTATTAATAACTTAACTTGTTTTATTCAACAACCCGACTATCGCCAATTGTCATTATGACCAACTAACTCCGTCTCACTTGGATATACCTACTAACCAACTGTACTAGGATTCAGGTCAGACGTATTGTACATTACATATAACTTATATTTACTGAACATCTAAAATATAACTTTACTTTGTTGTTAACATAAAACAATAGTCTAACATTATTATATAATCTCTCTATTTTAACTATGGTACTCGATTGCCTGTATCTCCTTCGGGTAATTAAAACTCATTTAAGGAGATAGGAAAAATATTTGGACATACGTTGGGTAGCTTCTGATTCTTGGTTTTGACCAAGATCCTCAAGTATTAAACAAGTCCCTAACATATAGTGGAGTATCGTTAGTTTTTACTGAGTTCAAGAATTGAAGTGTTTAATTCACAACTAGTTATCCTATCATTAATATTGACTTTTTGATTTCCTCAACAATTTCCTATACAATTTTTATTGTTATAGTTCTTATTTACATTATTTCTAAAATTTTTACTTAATTTGTTGTATCTAAATTTGTTAGTTCTATAATTCATTACTCTACGCTGATTATGACTTGGATATGTCATTAAACTTTGGTTACCCACATAATTTATATTTTTATAATCATTTAATTTACCATTATGGTTTTTTAAAAGAGAATCTATTTCTCTTTTTAAAATTTCTGAATCTTTCTCAAATTTATAAATCTTTCATATTTTAAAATATCTTATTAATTTACCTACTGTACTATTATCCCTTAACATAAATTTATTATATATATCATCTGGTAGTTCCTTAAAAAAATACTCTATGATATCTTTTTCAATGATACCTTCAAACCTAAGACATTCTGCTACTACCCTTACTAAAAACTTTTTAGTAAATCCACTATCAGCCAATTTCATCATTATTAAATTTTTTCTTACCAAATTTAGATTATTGGCAGAGTTGAAATTAATTAATGACAATTTAACATTTTCCTAAGTTAAATTTGTCGATCAATATTCTATAAATTCAAATATTTTAAGTGCATGATCCTTTAAGTATAAGGGTAACATAGAAAGTTTTTTTATTATCATCCTATTTATTTGCTTTCATATAATAAAGATAGATTAAGCTACCCAACGTATGTCCAAATATTTTTCCTATCTCCTTAAATGAGTTTTAATTACCCGAAGGAGATACAGGCAATCGAGTACCATAGTTAAAATAGAGAGATTATATAATAATGTTAGACTATTGTTTTATGTTAACAACAAAGTAAAGTTATATTTTAGATGTTCAGTAAATATAAGTTATATGTAATGTACAATACGTCTGACCTGAATCCTAGTACAGTTGGTTAGTAGGTATATCCAAGTGAGACGGAGTTAGTTGGTCATGATGACAATTGGCGATAGTCGGGTTGTTGAATAAAACAAGTTAAGTTATTAATAATATAAATATGACAAGAGTAATAGCATTGAAAACTATGTCTATAATGGCCACTCAAACACAATTGCCCTTTGTTAGTTCGAAGTCAGTAGCTCTGTGCTACAGACGAGTAGAATTGTCACATCAGCATCTCCCTCTATGTTAATTAATATGTATTACAAATTAAGTAAATAGAAATTAAACGTCTATAATATAAGTGGTAAGAATATAGTATTAAATGTTCTTACAGTATTTTGAGAAAGAAATCTTTAGTAAAATAATATTTGATAAATGATAAATATTTTTGAGAGTATTAAGAACTTTCCCTTAACACACTTTCATCTTTATATATTTAAAATACAATAAAGTATCATTAGTTTAAAATATAATTGTTATATTTAGAGATAAGATAAGAAAATTGTTTTTGGTTTATTATTTCAAAATATAATGTTACTTTATAATTAAGTTTATCATTATTCAATATTTAAATATTGCATACATTTTTTGTTTTAGAACATTTCAAATATTAAAATTTTTTTTTATTATTTACATTTGAACGATCCTACACTTCTATCTTTAACGTTAAAAGGGGCAAAACATAAAGCAATACTATGAATATTTTTTACTATTGGCACATTACTACATTTTTCTTACATAGATTTTTTTTAATATAATGTTTGAAAATAATTTATTTTTGTTTTAAGTTATAAGTTGTATTATGTTTAATAATATTTTACCTATATTAATATCATATTTTTTGTTATTTGTTTTTTGACTACATTTTGAAAAAAAAATTTTTGTTAAGTATTTTTTTAAAATCTTTTATTATTATATAATTTATTTAATGTTTTTAAGGTGCTAGTGTATTGTTAGTTTCTTTGGTTCCAAACACTCAATTCCGCCAAGCATTTCGATCAGCAAGAGGCTTGTGTTTATTACAAAAGGAAATAGTATTTGCACCAGATGCTAAAGAAATACTACAAGAGATTTTCAAATTTCTTCTAAAACTTTTAAAAGTTGCTAAAGAATACACAGATACAACTCAGCATGGATCTTCTAAAATGACTGCTTACTTTGTTATACTTAATTATTTTTTAGTATCCAAAGTTGAAAAATTAATGGTATGTATAATTTTGAATATAAATAGCAATATTACTAGGGCATTTATAAAAAAAAGTGTGTAAAAATATTTAAACCATAGTAATATCAGCAGTGAATGATTATTTAACTAAAAATTTTTCTAATATGATCATAATAAATTGTTATTAGTAGTTTTTATAACAAAGAAAATAACTAAATTAAGTATTTAGTATAGCATTTTTTAGTATAAAACATTGGAAATTGTTTGATATCATAGATGTCCATAGCAAATTGTAAAGACTGAAAATATATCTAATGATGTATTTTGAAGTTTCTGTTTCATAATTGTGCCAATAAGTGGCATATTTTTTTAAAGTTTAATTTATTAAAATATCTTATTATTTGTTATTGGTTTAATATTGACAGTAAATATCAAATCATTGAATATCAAAAGAAAAGTAATAATGGCCCAGCTATAGAAAATAAACATTTTTTTTAAATAAAATTAAAATAATGTTTATACTCATAACAAATGGTAGTGTAATGTTTTAAAATGTGTTAAAAAAGTGTATTCAAATATAATTATTTAAACACTATTCCAATTAAAAAAAATGATTTGAATGTTGTAATTATTATAAAAAGAATTAATAATTAGTTATTTGTTTTGATAAAAATGCTAAATAGTCATTTTTATTTTTATGTTAAAATAGTTAATTTATAAAGTTTTTAAAAATAATTTTTATATATTTATGTATCAAATTTATATTTTATTGAAAAAGAATATTTGCAGCTTAAAAGTTTTATATTATATGATGTTTTATTAGTTTGGACCTCATTTGGTTGAATTATGGCAGCTATTTCATCCAAAATTATCAGAACCAGCTATACCTATACATCATAATAAACAAAGCTTACTTATGTTATTTTATAATGTTTTGACTGATTGTGTAGAAAATGTACAAATATTAATACAAGATCCATACTTTGTAAAGAATATAGCATTCAACTACATTTTGTAAGTTAATTGTATTTTTTTATTAATTATCATTAATTACTATTTTTGTCTGGCAAAGATTAACATAAAATGTATTAATGTTCTATCAAACCTTTTTGGAGATAAAAAATAATTGTACAATTAAAAAACTATACAGGTGTTTATTTCATCATAATCCATTTTATTAATCAAAAAAAAAAATATATATATATATTGATAATTTTTTTACATACTTTTCTTAATTTATCAATGATAAATTATTTCTATATTAATACCTTATAAGGATGTTAAGTTAATTTTTTTAAACTGTAACATACATAATTAACTACCTTATTTATTAGATAATGATCTAGTTAAGAAAATGACAGGTTGATAATAATTTCTGCATCAGTATTTCAGAAGTATTTAACAGTTAAAAATATAGACTTGAGGTGATACATGAGTATGACTATTTATATTATTAGATGTGTGCTATTATTTTTATTACTAGAAATTTCTCAGTCTCACTCCTCCATACGTTTAGGTATAAAAATGTTAATAACTTCTGAAATATTGGTCCAAAAGTTGTTATCGACTCAGCACTATTTCAATCAGTTCAATTCCTATTTTATAAGTTAACTAAATATGTATGTTATAATCCTGAAGGAATGAAAAAAATATTATTTAATTTCTTGTTATTGTAGAGTTTTTTGAATAAAATTTATTTTTATTTTTATAATAGTTTAAAAAATTTTCAACAGTTTCTAAGAACATGAGTGTCTTATACTTAATTGATCACTCTGTATAACAAAATAAAAATAAAAAAATACTTTTATTTCATTTAAATTTAACTAGCAAAATATTTGAGTTATTTTTATTAAAATTTATAACAATGTATGTTTATTCATTCTTATTAACTTTTTTTTTTATACTTAGAGCTGATCACGACGACCAAGAAGTAGTAATTTTTAACCGTACAATGTTGCCTGCCTATTATGGTTTACTAAGAATTTGTTGTCAACATTCTAGATCATTTACTCGTCAACTTGCTGGACATCAAAATATTAGTTGGGCTTTTAAAAATATATCTCCTCATCCTACTCAATATGCAGCAGTAACTAAAACTTTATTTTGAATCAATACAATAAATAATATCAAAACAACTTTAATTTTTATTTATTTTTACTATGTAGGCTGTTGATGAATTATTTAAACTTCTTCAATTGTTCATTAAAAAATATCCAGATTCAACTGAACAGGAAATATCAGATATAAACCAATACAGGCGAGAAACAATACAATTATATGTTTCTCATTTAGATGGCAAAGCTGGTTGGGGTACTTTAATCCCAGTTACTAAAATTTTATTAGAAAATGATGATGACAAAGTTTATTTTGTACAAAATCAAGGTTTAGAGATGTGCTTTGAAGTAAGCTATTACAGTTATAATTATTGACTATTTATTTATTTTAGTGTTATCTAGTATTTATAAATTAGCTTAGAAGAATAAGGTCAATATAGACATAAAAGCAATTGTAAGTTTATTATTGCTCTTGGAATATTTAGAAAATATTACTTTAGATTAGAAAATTCTAATTTATATTGATATTTGTTAGTGTAATTAAAAAATAAAAACTGGTGTGTTTTACAAAAATGTAAGTAGAAATTAGTTACGATGAACTTTAAGCAGGCACAAAGCTAGAAAATTTCTTTCAAGGAAACAAAAATGTTATCCTACCCTAATATCTCTTTCGGAGGGAATTAAATATGTGTCTTAACTTATTGAATAATCTTTGGGTTCCGTGTTAAGACAATAATTATAAATTATATGTTCTTTTTGAAATTTTCTGATTTCAAAAATATTTAAATATTTTTCAGTAAAACAATATTCCACAAGAAATTAAAATTCGAAAATTTTTTACATAGCATATTATTCCTGCCTTAGTTTTAATTGTTATTATCTGTGTAATGATTAAAAGATAACAAATGGTAGTTTTAACCTTATTTCGTTTATTATAACCAAAATCTTATCCTAACCATATTACATATGAAAATATATTTTAACACAAATTTAAGATTGGATTTGAATTTTACTCATCTTAAATCATGTCTTGTTCTAAATAATACTTGTTATAGTGATTCATACTGGGATTAAAATTGAGTCCGTTGGATCAAAAAGGACCTATGTTCAAAAAAAAAAAAATTGAGATTATGATTTACATAGATTCATAATTGGCTACACTTTGTTTGTTGCATACAAATATTAGGTTTTATAATTAATTATTTCCTACATAATTTGTGATACAAAAATATAGCATAGTTTCTAAATGAAATATGTTCATAGAAAGTTATGTAGCAAAAGGTAGTATGTCCTCATATACTTACTTCAAGGGTATCAAAACGGTGTATCTCATCATATAATAATGAGAACACTGTTAAAAACTGTTACAAAGAGTAGTATGAGAGTAGTAGAGTTTTTGCTAAATTTCAAATGTCAAATTATCAGTATTTAATTTAGTTAAATTTAATCGTATGTATTAGTCATATAAACACTCTAAACATCTTAATATTGTCATAAAACCATGAATACGATTAAGTATTCTATTATCTGGTATTTCATTCGTATAGTACACGTGTTTTACTTTAAATATTTTAAACTTATATTATAAAAAGTAATAACCAGTGAATTTATAAACATGAATGTAATTAAATAAAACAGTCGAACCAAGAAGAGGTAGAAAATTACAATGCCTTCTAATCAAGCGTGACAAAGAGAAAACTGACATAGGTAATTAATTAATTTTAACATTAAATATACTGTGGTTCTATCATTAAGTTATCAGAGCTACAATAGATTACTGGATGGTTGATAAATAATTATTTAAAATTAGATAACTCTATGGCTATAAACATTTAAGTAGTCTTCGAAATTGTTATATTATTATTAATTAATTAATTAAAAAATAGAAAAAACAAAAATGAGTATTGGAATGAGATTATTGATTAATTATATGGTTTTATAAGTGTAAAATTAATTGGTTACTTCATTATGGGCAATGGATGAATAACTTGCTGAAATAATAATTTTAAATGCAATTTAACCAATTGACTTTAGATTTCATATTACTGCTTCTAATATCCAATTATAGAGACATAATGTAAAAAAAATGATTTTGTTTTTATTTATGATTTAATTTGTTATTCTGTGTGTTAAGTGTATTTTGATTAATTATAGACACTCATTAACTAGATTTCCTAAGCACCCTAATTGACAATATAAAAATTCAAATCAACTTCTATATCAATATAGTTATTAATATAGCTATGCATGATATAAGAAGAGCTCACCAAATGTTTTATGAAGTGCTTGACATAATTAAACAAGATGAAATCATTTTGAGATTGGTTATTATAAGCCCTATTAAAAGAAATCACCCACGCTAGGGTTTTTCCAAAAGAAAAAAGATAATAAAACATTTTATGCTTAAGCTTAATGAAAATAACAAACTTGAAAATATAATAGTTTGCCAATAATTATTCAGAAGTATATTTGGTATATTTAACAAAAGAATTGATTATGTTTGTAAAAATTATTTTTTAACTAGGAAGTCATTAAAAGAAAACTATAGTGAACGAAGAAAGGTACAAAAATATGAAAGTCAAAGAAAAATGGTGAAGGCCTTTATATCAAAATTTCAATCTATCGAGTCAATACTACATGACAGTACTTACCTAGTGATGTAACAATTTCCTCTTTATTATAAGACGTAACATAAATTAAAACTCGACAATAATATTAAGGATGATTATTTTGTGCTCAGCTTTTGTAAGGATTTCAATATTGAATTGGGTTTTCTATCGATGGATTATTGTTCCTTATATTTTTCATTAAATGAAAAAATAAAAATTACTAGGCGTTTAATAGAAAAGAAGAAATTAATCACAAAATTAGAGTTTACAAGAAAAAGGCTAACTCATTTTATAAATTACTAAAAAATGAAAATGATAGCTAAAATTACAATTACATTTAATTGTCAAAAATTTTTATTATCATTTAAAGTGCTGGATCAAAGTATTTACTATTCCAATTTTACATGTACAACTTCATAGTTTGTTAAGGCTAATTAAAATCAAAACAAGTTAAAGAAAATTCATTTATATATATTTGGTTAGAAACAAAACATATAGGATTAAACAAAATTGCATAATTTATTTATCATCGTCTGAAGAACATAAATTTAACAAATATTTGACTTTTTCCATATGGATACGGTAATCAAAATAAAAATCAGGATATGTTGTCCATGTTTTAAAAATACTTACAAGAATTCCATCTTATCATATTTTTGGTTGTTAAGTAAAACAATTTAAGAAAATGGCTTGCATAGAAAGCTTAAATGATTATATAAATTTTTTTGAAATTGTGGACACTGTTATATGTGTATCTTTAAATGATGACTGTAAAATATATGATTGGAAGTTATGCCTTCTCAAAACAACAAAAACCGACTGTAAATTGACATTTTAAATTTCCACTTGTTTAATGTTTATTAATGTCAAGATATACACAGAAAACATTTTTGTTAAAGAGTTAACTTACTAATTATTAAATGTTGTTTGAGAAAAAGGACTTTAATAACATGGTAAAAGTATGTCCTCAATGAAATATAGGGTTATAGTGTAGGCGTCCAACTGTATACTGCAACAAAAATTGATTTAGATAATTTGCTTGAAGTGCTTAAAGATTTATCCATGTCTGTAGTTAAAATTATATTCATGTTATAAATATGTTTTTGAGAGTATTTTGTTTTAAAATAATTTGACATTTCTATCACAATTAAATGATAAATTAAGTTCAACTTTTAAGATTTATGTTTACAAAAATTATACTTATATTTAAGTAGCAAAAGTGAGTATATCCAAATGAAAATAGGAGTTAAAAAATAAAATATTAACCTACAATTTCAATTTTACACTTAACATTAAAAAATATATATTTATATAATTAATGTATATTAAAATAATTTAAAAAAATCCTAAAATATTAAAGAAAATATCAATTTTTTATTGTTGGTGTTAAATTTAAAATTTTTGGACATATGTTCTTTGTGCGGCTTAATTATCTAATTCATTATCATTTATTCCATTAAATTCTATCAATTTTTACTACGGATCATACACATTATTAATTTTTTAATTTTTATTAAAAGGGTTTTCAAACATTGCATAATATGTATCATGAAGCTACAGCTTGTCATGTAACTGGAGATTTGATTGATATGCTTGCATTAATTGTTGATGTTACTAAGTGCCTTCAAAAAGCTCATGAACAAAATAAATTAAATGAAAAAGAAACGCCTCGTTCTATTATTTTAGGATATAAAGAATGGCCTGATCTATTACGGAAATTAGTTACCTTACTAAACACTTATAACCCAAAGGAAATGCGGCATTCTGTACTAGGTAAATATTATTCTATTTATTTATCATCATTATTATTTTTAAATTCATATCATTAAATTTATAATATATTTTATAATGGATCGTGATAAGTGACATTTTCAAATAATAATTTGAAGTAATTTAAAACATTTATAATTTACTAATAATAGATATTCGTATTTATTTTAAATAAACATCTGGCTGAGTAAATAATAACTATTTACTTATAATGTTCTTTACAGAATTTTAGACTTAAATATGCTAATAATTCATCTTCATAAAAAATGTCACTTATCACACTTGTGCTACACCATAATAATTTAGTAATATTAAATTTTTTTTTAGACTTGCTAAAGATTTTAGTAGTTTTAATGCCTGTTGAAGTAATAAATGTGCTTCAACCAATTTTAACTCATTGCCATGCTGTATGTATGGATAGTAGTAACAGTATGCCTATTGGTCCTTATTTTCCTCGAAGAGGTCATAAAGTGCCTATGCTTAGTTTAAAATCAAACACTAGACCGATTAGACCAATGGTACAAATGGCTTTAACTCATAATCAATTAGATTTAACTAAAGTAAGACATTAATTATGGCTTGACAATTTATTTTTAGTACTTTAATATATATTAATGTAATTTTTTATTCTTGTTTCTTTCAAGGGCTGTGATTCTCAATATGATGCTGATTTATCTGCTTTTTATTCACCTTACCATGAGTTTATTGATCTAATGTGTCGTACGGCTGTAAATAATGATTGCTTAACTGAACCATTAGTGACATTAAGTGCAATGATTGGTTATGAATCTATACCATTACATCATACTTTTTTTCCTAAATTCTGGCTTGATGTTCATAGTATGAGTGTAAGTTGAAAAAATTTATAAATTTAAAATTATTAAATTTCATTTAGTCTTTAATGTTTTTTCAAATTTACTTTTATTTTTTTATTGAAATGATTTTTAATTTTTTTAGAGTCCTAATTTACCATATTTGCGTTTATTATCAAAAAACAATTATTTTGTGGATTATCTTGAATCAACACTTATCGAAGAAAGGCTTAGTTTAAATAATGACATAATATATGACTTTGTTAAAATGTTTTTTCCTGAGGTAAAGTGTTTAAGTTTGTATTATTTAGTTATATAAATGTTAATTTATTGATTTTAAATTTATTAAGACTAAATTAAATATGTTAATAACTAGATGGCTGCAAGTGTTTTATCTCATCACACATTTGAATTGCTGGAAAGTATTATATTTAATTTACCAAATGATTTAGAAAAGCTTGGAGAATTAGAAACTGAAAAAAGAATGCTATCTAATTTAAGAGCTCTTCAAGTTTGCTCTTTAGTTAAACCACCTGTACAAGAACTTAAAGCCGTTTTGAACAATATAAAAATTTCAGCAAAAAATATAATTACCAAAATTATTAATTCAAAAACTGGTAAATTTATCAAATTAATTTAGATTTAAAGAATGTATTAAACTATGATTACTCATGTAATTGATATTAAAAAAACATTCTTACTTATACTATTTTTTAATAATTTAAAAGTTTAAGTATAAGTAGAATAAAAATATAATGCTAAATTTTTGGTAACATTTAATTTAATGCACTAAATAGCACTATTATGAAGAATTTTTGAGGGATACTGTTTTTTATAAATTGTTCAACAATTTAAGACCTAAAAAAGTTTAGTATGTGTTACAAAAAAAAAAAAAATTCAGGAAACAGAAAAAAAGATTCCTTTCAAATTACAATATGTAGACTATTTTCCAATTTATTTTAAATATGCATTTATATTATCCTATATATAAACTAAATACATTAATGTTGTAACACAAAATTGTAACACACACCAAAGTTTTTGTAAGGTCAATTCATGTTTTTTCTACATTTTATAATTGTTATATAAAATTGTTGCTCCAGGTAAAACTTTTAACCAAAAATTTAAAAAATATATATATAATGTTTTAGGTAAAACTGATAGTTTAAATGAAACCGATGATAATGACTTTGATGTTGAGCAATTATCTTTGTTGCGTCGAATTGAATCAACTGCTATTGAATTTATAGAATCAATTCCTGTTTCAAAGAATGAAGAATTATCTAAAAATGTGGATGAAAAAAATATTGCTGGTCCACAAGATAAGACTTAATACAGATTCATTGTAATGAAATAAAATTTAAAAATGCTGCTAGTCTTTTAAAACAAAACTGAAATTATGAAATTTTTAAAAGAAATTCCATTTCTTTTAACAATTAAGTGTGATCTCCCAAAATTTTGAAAAGTTTTGTTTTTTTTTATTCAGTCGACTATTTTGTAAGCCAATCTTTGTTGGAATATTGTTATTTTATCATGTATATCTCTGATTTTATGTGAATTAATTCACTATAACACCTATCCCTATAATTTTATCTTTTATTATAATTGTTTAAAAAAATAATACTTGTAAATTTTTACGATAATATATAATTATTATTATTTTATTATTAATACATTTTTTAATTATTATTATAAAAGAACTTATTAAGACTTTCTAATCACTAATACTATAGATTAGATTTTTTTACAGGGAAATGTTGTTTTTCTATTATCTATTTGTAAATAAAATGATAATGTTTTAGTCTATATGAATTGTATACATNTACAGGGAAATGTTGTTTTTCTATTATCTATTTGTAAATAAAATGATAATGTTTTAGTCTATATGAATTGTATACATTAATAATGTTATATAAATATTTTAATTTAATTACAAATTGTCTATATAATTGTACAAAAATAAATATAAACAAATAAGACTTAATTTTAACCAGATAAGTTGTATTAATATTAATAAGTCATTGGTATTTGTTATCATATGTAATATAAATTGTAACATTAAATCATTATAGCTGATTTTTTTTTGTTACTTATGTGATCTATTAATCATAAGCATTTTCATCCACAATTTTTTTTATTTTAATTATCATAAAACTATAGATTAGTTTTAGAACATAATAAACATGTAAATATATTTGAATGGTAAAAATATAATCGTTTTTGGTTTGGAGGGAGTAATGGAAAATTTTTTTATCTATATCTCGTTCCCCAAAATAATAGTCTACGCCACTGGAGTTTATCAATACTAAAAACTGAGCCCCACAAATCATAGTAAGTATATCGATAGCTATATATCAATAGTGCTAGTTTTTAACTAACCCCAGATTATATATGTTATATCTATCTATTCTATGCTTTAACTACAAAATAGATTAAGTATTCCGTAGTTCGTTTATAAGCCAGTGTTATGATTTGTAGGGCCCCTTAAGTTCTCAATATTGATAACTTTAGTGACGTAAATAGACTATTGTTTTGAGGAAGATGAACATAAGAAAATTATCCATTACTTTCTCCAAACTTAAAATACTATTAGTAAGGCACTATAACTATCTTATAGTCTCCTACATTCACTGCCGTAATTTGAAACCGTCATCAAGAAACACGATTGTTGGTTAATCTAATCAAAGTTTGTATTTACTAATGTAAATTTAAGATTAAATATTCAAATTTTTATTGTTAATATTACAATTCGGAGCAATTAATTTAAAGAAATTTTATATTCAAGGAATTTACTAGTTTTATTGAATAAATGATCAATCCCTTTTTTTGTAATTAAAGCAAGCATATGAGATTTAACACACTTGAAGCTTTTTATATTCGAATTTGTAGCTTAAAATTACGTAATTAAAATAATATTTTATCATGGTATTGGTTGATCATAGGGCTAATAACAAAGTAGTATCTTTAAGTTATCATTTTGATGTTCTGTTATCACTAATCGGGTATTGAAGGCGAGTCAAATATTTAAATTGCATACAATAAAGATAAAAATTTACTTTCCGAAGATAAATTTTTGAATTTATTACACAAATAGTTGAAATGTCTTCAGATTATTGTCGTATTTGTTCATTTATTTTGCGTGATTATTTTGGTCAAGACGTTTCTGAAATAGCAAAACCTTTACAATGGGGTCAAAAATCTTTTACAACTTTGTCAACAATTTTAGCTGAAAAATATTCCAAGTGCATGGTTCAAGAAACTCTTCTAGTGTTACTCCAGTTCGATTTTATATCTGCTATATGTAATGTTCATTCAATACAAATAGAGTATAAATTAAATATGTATAATATACTTTTGATGCTAAGATATCCAAAATATGTATCTATAATTAAAAGAAAATTTAGTAGTATTCATACAGAACTTGTCCAAACCTTGCTTTGCATTGGCAGAGCATCATTGTCGAATATTGTACTTACATGTTTAAAAATGCATAATATACCAGATGATGCTTTTGATAAATATTGGGAAAAAGGTGTTGAATTAATAAAATATGAATATTTCAAGAGAGTACCAACATATGTTGTGTGGACAGAAGTAAAACTAAACAAAATGTTTACACCTCCTACAAAAAATCATATTGATGAAAAAAAGATCCTCTATGCACCAAATTTTAATAAATTCCATTTAGATATTAGAAATAAAATGATTATTGATGCTGTTGTTAGGACATTTGATGATACTATTATTGGAGAAGTCATGAAAACTATTTTAAGTCAATGCAACGATAATTTGTCTCCAGTTTCAAACCCTATTCCTTTACAGCTAATTAGAAGTAATTTAAATGTGGGTAATAATTATTTACTGGAATATATAACTATGATTGAAGAAGATCCTACCAAATTTTTATGTAAATCATATGGGGCAATGTGTAATATTACTGTAAATTTCAAGCAAATAATTAATTGCCTAAATGATTCAATAATTGATCAAATTGTAAGTTATAAGTTTGGTGAGAGTTCTGCAAGACTTTTTAGAGCTACTAGGGCTAATAAGCTTTTAGAGCTTGAACGTCTTCAACAAGCAGCTTTGATACCAGACCGGGAAACTAAAACATTAACATCAGAATTATTTATGAATAATTATCTCCAAGTACAAGAATTAAAAAAACCTAATACGCGTATTGGTAGAAATGATGGAAAGTCATTTTATTTATATCATTTAAATGACCGTCAATTACATCAAGAACTAACTGAAGAAGTACTTAAGATGATTGGAAATTGTATGGTATGGAAATTTAAAACTTGTGAAGATAACAGACGTTTATTAAAAAATAAAGCACGTTTTGATGGAATGGTACAAGGATTACAAGATAAACAAGAAGCTGATAAAGACTTTTTTGAAGAAGCTATGGATAATTTATTTTCTCCGAGTGAAAGAATATTACTTGATTCTATAGGTAGATTGCTTCGAAAATGTCAACTTAGTATTATGCGCTTAGATGAATGTTTATTTTTATTTTACATCTATAAGCATTTTAAAGAAATTAATGAATCTAATAAATAAAAATTTTATAATACTATTTTGTATTTTAAGTTGATATGTAAATGAAAATTTTAGTATTCTACATTAATATTTTATGAGAAGTTCTCCGTTTTTAATATTATTTTCTAATTTAATAAAACAAGCTAATCTGTTTTGTATACACATTGTACCAAGTATGACATTAGTTTTACTGAGTTAGGTTTTTTTTTTAAGTGTAATTCAAAAATGATTATTTAACATATCAATTAATCATTATCCTGATTTTTTTTAAGTTAAAAAGAAATCAATTTAACTTTAAAGTGAAAATTTGTGATAGTGCAAGGCTTTCGTAAAATACATTGCGTGCTGTTAAAATTTAACAAATAATATTTTATGATTGGTAAATTGATAAGAACACATGTACCTAAAAGAAACCAAAAAAATAATTTAATATTATTTTTCAATTAAGGAGTTCATATTAAATGTAACACTTTCTATATTTAACAAACAACCATAGATTAAATACACATAGATAGGCCACGGCATTCAGACAATTGGCAACCGATTTTTTGTTAATTTATAAACGTAAAGATAGCGCTATATATCCTCTCGGAAATATTAAATATTTAATAATAACTGTCCAGTTTGCTGATATTCAAGTAATAGTCACGATTATTGATGTACGGCTAACACCGTTAGCGCAAATTAAGATAAGAACCAGTTATTACTAAAGGCGATCGCTTATTTGATTTAAATGAAACTTTTCGTTTTAAATACAAATTCGATAAAACATGTGTTTTAGCTTCGATGCGAAGCGGAGAAGGTATTAATTTTACTATGATGTGTTTTTTTTTTTTTTATGTCTGTTGCCACTTTTTTTCAGCTCTCACTGGACCGATTTCTTTCAAAAATACGTCAAAAGATCACAAATCGTATCTAGTTGAAGACATTACCCTTAAAAATTGAAAAAAAT